CCTACCACACCTCACACCACTCTACCACACTGACGACGAGAAGGGTGGTACAGTATGATATGGGGAAAAGAAATGTCCAGCTTCTTTATATACAACCATTTAAAATCCAGATATTCTTTCTCGGTGACTCTGTATTGAGGAAGAGCCATTTAAGGAGTGACTGACTGATGGTGGTGGGGAGGCGAACGTGTTACCTGAGTACCATACCTGAGTCTGGAATATTTTAGTGGTAATTATATCATGGGATTAAGGAAGTAATCTGAGAATAATCGCCTGTGATCGTCAGCCGCAGGATTTAATGAGATTTATCATGTATAATGTTATTGAGAATTATCGTTGTATAACCCTCAGCCATGTGAAGTCTTTTGAAAATTATCGCCTACAATTTTCAGCCACACAAAACTTCACATTAATGAGAAATATCACGTGAAGGCGACTTTGGTTATTAGTGTGTGTGTGTGTGTGTGTGTATGTGTCCATACCGTAACGCTTGGAGGCGCACCACACGAGGTGTCAATATTTTTGTGTTAGTCCGACTGCATACCGAGGCAGACAACCGTCAGCGCCGGAAAGACGCTGTCGCCGCCCCTCCCACACTAGATGTAGCCCTCCACACGTGCAACATATGTGGACGGCCCTGCCGGTCCCGTATCGCCCTCTCGAGTCACTTCAGAGCATACCAACGAAGGTGACATCCTTAATAACTCATATCATTGTATCATAGCTGGATGATCGTCATACTCGATTTCGAGTGACAGCAAATTAGTAGTAGTAGTAGTAGAGGATTCTGGACGCGGGGACAGCGAGCTTTCTTTGTTGTCAGGATATTCGACTCCATGGCCGCATGTCACCGTAACTTGTCTTTTGAGGCTGCACACAAGAGGAACGAGAACGACAAGAATAGGGCGTATTCAAATAGGATTCAGAATGTGGATCACGGCAGCTTCACTTCTCTGGTGTTCACAATCTCTGGCAAGATGGGACCAAGTGCAAGATGTTTCTATGCAAGACTGGCCGAGCTGTTATCTGAGTAGAAGCAGCAGCCCAGAAGCCACGTTGCAGCCTGGTTGAGGTGTCGACTGTCCTCCTCTCTCCTTAGGTCTGCATTGCTTTGCCTCAGGGGAACGAGATCGTCAGCCCCCAAAGCTGATAACGATCACGTCTATCGACTATGAGGCAACAGTCACTGACTACCACATAGATCTGCGGCTCAACTAACTCAACACAGCCAGGGGAGCTGCTTTGGGACTAGGATAGTTAATTTTAAGGCAAAAAAAATGGCTGGGAAGATGTGGCTATTAGGGGAGGCTGGAGGCCATGTTAAAAAAGTAGTAGTAGTAGTAGTAGTGTGTGTCCCCGGTGTGAGTTAGAGCCTCCTGGGTGGACATTCTGAGTGTGGGAGTGGAGGAGTGGCAGGGGTGGATAGGAGGGAAGGGGGGGGGGGATGGAGTTATAAAGGGAGGGAGGGAGGAGGAATACGCCCTAACACCACCTACCCAATTCCACCAATTCATTATAATACAGCCAATAACTTTTTTCTCGCCTATTTCAACAAAATCCAGAAATTAATCCGGTTAAAACTCTCTTCCTCTCGCTAATGACCATTTGTCTCCTCCTAAATTACCAAGTCGAATTTCCGCCATTCCCACACCATCTTCTTTAAAAACTATTGATGGCGCTGTGGAGGAGGGCCGTAAGCCTGGGTGGTGGTGAGGCGGGGTTCTGGGCCGTGTGGCGGAAGTGTTAAGGGCTGCTAGCACCTCTCTGGGTCAGAGGCCGCAAGTGCCCTTGTGAGAGCTCCAGGGATTCTCTTAAAAGGATTTAATTCATTGGCGGTAGAGTCTTTTCTCTATCTCAGTCTCTTTTGTCTCTCATTCATTATATATATATATATATATATATATATATATATATATATATATATATATATATATATATATATATATCGTATACTCATATAGTATCTAGACACTGTGCTTTTATATGTAGTTTCACTGGTATGGTGGTAATGGTTGGTGGGTAGACGTGGCGATACAGTGGCAGTCGTCTTACTTCATCAATACTGTTGCTGGTGCATATAAATTATCCTCACCCTCCTGAAAGTCACCAGCAGCAGGGGTTGTCCATATATGCTAGTTGTTGACATCAAGGGGAGGGGGAATTGGGCTCGTGTTAAGGGGAGGAAAGTAAGGATGATTATATTAAGGAAGAAGTGAGGATGGATAATGGAAGTCTTTGAAAATGATGAGATGGAAAACGCGCGAAAAAAAAAAATTATACGGGAACACTGGAAAATGTGTGAAGATATGAAGATGCTCAAAATACGCATTAAGCAATGTAATAATGATGATAATAATAATAATAATAATAATAATAATAATAGTCTAACGTAGGCCTAACCAGATATTAGTAACCATGTAAGAAGATAATTTCTCCCTGACTAATCTAGGCCTAAGATTACCTAAATTGTAATGTCTGGGTGTAAATGTGTGTGTGTGTGTGTGTGTGTGTGTGGTAGATTATCATCGTTATAAACATTATCAGTTATTATTATTGTTATTACTACTACTATTATTACATTGGTTTATGAGTATTTTGATCTTCATATTCCTGAATCATCTCTGTTTGTGATATCGTTAAGGGACGCTTATAATGGAAGAGAGAATTTCACAAGAGCTGATGTACTGTATGATAAGGAAAAGCATTATACCTGCTGTCTGGTGGTTCATCACAACTGTTGCTTACGACACTCCTCCTTGCCCCTTCCCTCTTCCCTCCTCCTACTCTCTCCTCGATCTCCCTGCTCCATTCTCCTCTTCCTCCTTTTTATCCATCTTCTCTTTCCTCCTCTTCTTCCTGTTCCTCCTGCTGTTTTCTACTCCTTGCCACTGTTTCCTTTCCCTTTCCACTAACTTCTTTTCCTAATTCTTCCTCCAGTTCCTCTCTCCTTCTACCTCTCCTCCCTCTCCCTCTCTCCCCCTCTCCCCTCACGTCTGCCTCAGGGGTGTCGGGGCATAATAGGCATGACAGTGATAGGTAGTGTGTGTGGAGAAGAGGTCCACTAGTGTATATAAAGTGGAGGATCGTGGTAGTGGAGGATTGTGGTAGTAAAGTGGGATATTGTGGTAGTAATAGTGGAGGATTGTGGTGGCAGTAGGGGAGGATTGTGGTAGTAGTAGTGGAGGATTGTGATGGTAGTGGAGGATTGTGGTAGTAGTAGAGTGGAGGATTGTGGTAGTATTAGAGTGGAGGATTGTGGTGGTAGTGGAGGATTGTGATGGTGTTAGTAGTGGAGGATTGTCATTGTATAGTAGACAGCAATATGTGGAAAAGTCATACGACCACCTCCCACGACCACCCACCTATCCACCCCTCCATCCACCCCCCCCCCCCACCCACCTCCATGTTGTGTAAGGCCTTGTTTACCAATCAGTCAGCTGGCGGAGTGACTTAATGCGTGTGGTGTTGCCCCTACCGACGACACCAGCGAGGAGGACCTGTGTAGAATAATGTATTTCTTCTGATTATAATTTGAGGCGCCTGTCTGTTGTATATATTTCCAGGTTATCTAAGGGGATCGTAATTTAGGTCACAGGTTATCTAATGGGATCGTAATTTAGGTCACAGGTTATGTAATGGGATCGTAATTTAGGTCACAGGTTACGTAATGGGATCGTAATTTAGGTCACAGGTGTTGTAATGGGAACGTAATTTAGGTCACAGGTGTTGTAATGGGAACGTAATTTAGGTCACAGGTTACGTTAATGGAATCGTAATTTAGGTCACAGGTTATGTAATGGGATCGTAATTTAGGTCCTATCGTGTTATAGACTTACAGGTAGGTTACGTAATATAATTTTAGGTGAATTGTAATTATAGGTTGTAATTATAGGTATATATGTATATTTCTATACTATTCAGACTTTGTATAATTAGAGTATACATATAGGAATACATGTGACTTGCATGTGTATTCAGTATTTTTGGCTTAATTCTGGTTTTGGTGGGATTGGAGGGGGGGAGGGACAGGTGTGTGTGGTGGGGGTGAAGGTACAGGTGTGTATGGGGGGTGGAGGCACAGGTGTGTGTGGTGGGGGAGGGAACAGTGTGTGTGTGTGGTGGGGGGGAGGGAACAGGTGTGTGTGGTGGGGGTGGAGGTACAGGTGTGTGGTGGGGTGAGGCAGGTGTGTGTGGTGGGGGTGGAGGGTACAGGTGTGTGTGGGGGGTGGAGGTACAGGTGTGTGGGGAGGGAACAGGTGTGTGGTGGGGGTGGAGGGGTGTGGTGGGGGTGGAGGCACAGGTGGTGTTGGAGCCAGATATGTGTGTGGTGGGGGTGGAGGCACAGGTGTGTGTGTGGTGGGGTTGGAGGTACAGATATGTGTGTGGTGGGGGTGGAGGTACAGGTGTGTGTGTGTGGTGGGGGTGGAGGGTATAGTGTGTGTGTGTGTGTGGTGGGGTGGAGGTACAGTGTGTGTGGTGGGGGTGGAGGTACAGGTGTGTGTGTGTGTGTGTGTGGTGGGGGGAAGCCACAGGTTGGCTCATCAAAACGCAGGTGTTGGTGGGTGTTGGTCCCCTCCCCCCCTTCTCTCCCTTCCCTTGTACTCCTTCTTCCGCCTCCTCTTCCTCCTCCTCATCTTTATACTTCCTCTTTTTCCTCTTCCTCCCCCTCGTCTCCTCACCTGTGTCCACTCACCTGGCTTCATGGTGCTTTAACCATTGTTGTTCTCAATGTCTAATGTCTTATTACCTTATGTCTGAATTCTTGATATATAGTGTCCTAATGTCCGAGTTCAATGTGTCCAAATTTCATATGTCCGAATTCTTAGTTTCTTAATTTCTATAATAATAATGTTAATAATAATAATAATAATAATAATAATAATAATAATAATAACACTAATAATAATAATAATAATAACACTAATAATAACACTACTAATAATAACACTAATAATAACACTACTAATAATAACTAATGATAATAATAATGTGTTGTGTTGCAGGTCGGGTACAGGCGCCACGGTTCATCGGTCTGCAGGTAGCGACGGAGAGTGTGGTGAGCGAAGGACACACCAAGATCCTCCAATGTCAGGCCCTAGGTAAGTCCTCTAGCGTCTTGGTATGAGAGAGAGAGAGAGAGAGAGAGAGAGAGAGAGAGAGAGAGATTTCTCCCTATTCTGTCTTCTTATTGGGCTGTCCGTTCCGCTCTCTGGCTGTCTGTCTGTCCTTTAATCCGTCCATCAGTTCGTCCGTCAATTCGTTCAGCCGTCCACTAGACAGATTCAGCCAGTCAACGGTAGCTTGTCACAGTGGAACATATTAGAGCCCTTGTGGGTGGTGCGGGGGGGAGGCGGCTTCCGGGGAGGTGACGGAGGGAGGGAAAGAGAGGGGGGGGGGAGAGTATGATGGGGAGGAATTGGGAGGGAAGGAGAAGTGAGGAAAAGTAGGAAGGGGAGAAGTGGTGGAGACGAGTTGGGAGGTGATGAAGTGTAGGGAGGTGAGAAAAAGTGAGGGAGGGAGTAGAGGTGGGGGAGGGACAGGTGAGGTATGGAGGCCGTGAGGTCGAGCTAGGGACCACCTCCCCAGTGAACCGTACCGAGAATGGAGACCAACCGTGAAATGGTTCTCGGCCCTCTGTCCTTCCTCCTCCTCTTTCTCCTCCTGCTCCTCTTTCCTCTTTTAGCCAGCTGTTTCCTCCTCTTTAGCCTCTTATCTCCTCCTGTTCCGTTTTCCTTTTATAGCTTATTATCTCCTTGTTTCTCTTTCCTCCTATTATCTACCTCCTCTTTCCTCTCTAGCCTGTTTATCTCATTCTCCTCCTCGTCCTCCTCTTGCCTTTTTAGAATTTTCCCCAGTGCTTCATCTGCTGCAATATTTGATAAGTAGTATGATATGTCCATTATGTCAGGTGGTGTGTTACAGTAGCCTCTCTTGGGCAAAAACTCTGTTACGAACACACCACGACCCACGTTCTTTCGAAACGGGAGACGTGTGAAAAAATCAGCCTGGCTCATTTTATTTTATAAGCCAGTACAAACTTTGCTTTATTATTATTATTATTATTATTATTATTATTTTTTTTTTTTTTTTTTTTTTTTTTTTTTTTTTTTTTTTTTATTCAAGAGTGGCATCGAATTTGTCTCTAGATGCTAACATAAATGCCTTCTTATTTGTTCGATTAGATAAAAAAAAATCTTTTATTATCAGGACGGAGAATGTCACCTGGATCTTGTTGGGGAGATTTCGACTCCGCCTCTAATAGTGATCCAAAATAGCGGTCTGAATTAGTTCTCTCAGAGGTGATGTATAGACAAAAGTATTTAATAACAAGTTGACAACGAAAAATTATAAGTTTGATAATAACGTTACGTCGTATATTATGATGTGTAAGTAACAGTAGTAGAGGTCCGAAGTAGTGAGGTCGAGGGTGGTAGTGGTACTGTATATTTTGGTGGAGTGAGGAGCAGGGGATGGTGTCGTGGCCCCGGGCGCTACAGGAAGGTGCTGTGGGTGTTCGCGCCACCCCTACCATCCTGCCGTCACCATGGTATGTGTGTGTATGAGGGTGGGTGGGTTACTGCTGTGTATATGTGGGGAGGGGGGGGGTAAATGAATGGGTGGGTGTGTGAGTAATAGAATGTGGGTGAATGGGCGGGTGGGTGTTGATATGTTATGGTATGCATGCGCTTTCATGTTTTGTGTGTATGACTTTATCTGCTTGTCACATGAGAGAAGCATGGGGGAGGCAGGAGAGAAGGATAGGTCGGTAGGGCAGGAGAACAAAGGTACTGTGGGATGGGATGAGCGGTAGGGAGGAGAGGGTGGTGGTGGGGGGAAGGGGAGGGGTAAGCACTTCCTCCCATTACCTGCTCTGGTCAGCCGGGCAGCAGCACTACCACCATCATGTTGTGTTGCTTCCTCTGAATATAAATCATGCGTGGCTGTTTGTATGGATGAATGTGCATGTATTATTTTTATGAGTGGAAGGATGACATTCTTTTAGGCATCTCCACATGAGAGGGTGAAGGAGGGGGTCATTGTATTTCGTATTATAAGTCAACTAATTTCCAAGTAATAAATCATGCAAGGAAACATCTAAGCTCAGTTTCAGTCGTGTCCATAATTTATGTAGGTAGAAAACTCTTAGTATTTAAACCCAAGCTTTAAAAAAAAAACCTAGAGCAGGAAAAGTATTAGTGCTTCATTTACGTCATAAGTCTCGATTCAAGCATTCTATTCTAATTTTTTTTATCATTGTAGGACTTAGATTTTCTCTTTGTCAAAACCAAACAATAGTATGAAATTTGGAGAAATGTCACATATGCAGTATCTGGTGGTGTTACAAGGTGGGAGAAATGTCCACAGGGGTTGTCCCCCCCCCCCTTTTTGCGTCACATTAGGATGATGCAAGTGAGATGTGTGGTGTGTGTTTATGGTGTGTGTGTGTTTTTGCTTACATAAGAACAATAGCATTTGTTGTACAGTATTTTTGTTAATGTTGCTGTTATGACATTTTCATTGTTTATACTGTATATAGGTACTGTACAATAAAACAGATTTTCTTTGATGAAACTTTCCCCGTTTGACTGTGATTGCTTCTATAACAGGTAAATTATATTGTATTCCCAGGTTACCCCCAGCCAGAGTACAGGTGGATGAGGGATGGTGAGCCCCTGGGAGAGTTCTCCAGTGAACACTTCTACAAGATCTCCTCCGTTACACGGGATGATGCCGGCGACTACCGCTGCGTGGCGCGAAACTCTGCCGGGGCTATATTTTCCGCCAAGACCTCATTCTCTGTTGCCTGTAACTATGTTGTCTTTTAAGCTATACACCTCAAATTTTTTATGAACTTTGAATGTGAATGGTTTGGGAACTAGTAAAATAATGGGTACTGTATCTTATTGTGTTATTTTTTTAGAAATTTAATTGAATGAAGAAACTTTCCTTGTTTTTGGAATTTATAGTTTTATCATTGTCAAACTGAATATATACTGTACATGTAATAACTTTTGTCTGACTCTTTTAATATAACTTTTAATTCTCTTTATTTCAACAGACATGACTGGCTACAACAACACAGAGGACACAGTGATAACAGTACAAGCCGGTGAGGCAGCCATGCTCTCCATACCTCCTCTTGAGTCATATCCTCCACCTTCAGTCACGTGGTTAGCTGATGACAACTCCCTTCTGTATGGGATCAAATATGCCACCACAGACCCCGCCAACCAGTTCATTATTTTAGCGACTCAGCCCTCGGACATGAAGACCTACAGGTAACAGCAACTGGACTGTTTAGATATTAGTAGTTATTGTGGTATATAAAGTCTAGAGGAAATAAATGCAGAAAATAAAACACTAATTTTCATACATAACTCTTACTGCTACTTTCTTCTTTTGTTCTGGCAAGCCTTTTCCTGCTTGGGTGTCCGGAGTCAAGATAAAAAAACAGACTCCTCTTTCACTCGCCTTCATCTATTCACTGTAACTACTGTACCCTACCTTCCCCCATAAACCTCATGATGTCGTGCTTCCTTATCATTTATGTACTGTACTCCGCTGCTTTCTGGATGTCATTCCCCTCGCCTCCAGTGAGGTTTCCTCTCTCTCTCTCTCTCTCTTGGTCTTCCCATCTACCATTAACTTTTTTTACCACCTTAGTATGCTCTTAGCAACCCACTTTCTGATGCTTAATTATTTCTTCATTTCCCAATTTCTGTATATCTTGTTTTCTGCATCATATTCACCTCACTTAATGTTGTCAAGCACGTTATATTTGAAGCTTCTAGTTTGCTTCCTCCATTTGCATCTGGAATCCATGCTTTGCAGCCATATACTGTATTGTAATAATGTCTGCTTAACAATTCGGTCATACATGTTTTTTTTTTACCATCTTTGATGTGGTTCTCTCAGTATACGTAATATATATCTTTCAGTGCCTCTGTTAATCCATTTTTTTTATATGAAATGCAGTATAGTACAGTATTAATGTCTTAGTATTTTACCAAAATATAATGATTTATCTTTTTGTTTGCAGTGTTCGCATCACCAATACCCAGCTAGGGGTGGAGGAGGTCAGTGGAGGGATTACTCTGGTAGTGGAAGGAGATGAGAGAGGGAATGAGGAACTTCCCCCTTCTATCATTGTTCCTCCAATTAACACAACCATCATCAAGGACTCCAGTATTGCACACTTGCAGTGTATTGCAAATGCAAGGTTTGTCACTTCACATTTGATTTATTTATACAGTATTGTATATATAAAATGGGGGCAAGGTTATAGTGTAATGTATTGATGTAGTTTCCAAGAAGGATCATAACTAAGATGTTTCTCAGTTTTCATAATTTACAATGTAACCTATACCTGCAGAGCTAATTCTGAATTGTTGTCAAACACTGAAACACATTTTCTTAGGATTTGCCCTACTGTAGTACCCAGTGAAGTTTATTATTGGTACATTGTAGAAAATTTCAATAATTCAGAATACAGTTGTACCCCACTTAACGCGGTCAATTGAACCCACAGGGTACCACGTTAAGTGAAAACCGCGTTAAGTGAACAACAGAACATATGGGATTAATTCCAATAGAGACTGGCCCGACCCCCAAACTCCACTTTTTGACGACACACAACTATGTTGTAGTAAAAATATTATCTTAAGTTTATGATGGTATGCACACACAATTAATAATTAAGAGAAATATCAATAATATTAGGTTTTTTAACACTTACATTAGTAGAAAAGATGGCTGGGCACACGGGGATGGGGGGTTGGTTCCGAGGCAGAGGGCAGATTATTGGCCCTCACCTGTATCACTTGTATCAATTGTATCACTATCCACCACAGAGGCTTGCAGGGCCTCTTTGTCAAACCCCTCAAAGTCCATATAAGTCCATATCCTCACTATAATTACCACTATCACTGACTTGGGCTGGCTGTGGTGGGTGGCGGGTGAAGAACTCGGTAATGTTTTGATGACTGGGCGACCTTGTGCGCATCGTGCCCGCGCCGCTTCCCGCGTATACGAGTAGATGAACCGCGTTAAGTGAAAGTTCGGTTCTGGCGAGGCACCGCGTATATGAGAAATCGCGTTAAGTGAAACCGCGTTAAGCGGGGTACAACAGTATGTTCTCTTACTTGGAATGGCTCTAAATAATATATACCATATACTGTACTGTATAAGAAAAGTGTTCTTATCCTTGATGCATTAGTTGAATATTTTATTTATTATCCTTGTACTTATTTCTTGCCAGACCATTGTATCAGCTGGAGACACTCTGGTTCAAGGATGATGTGCCCATAGAACAGTCGGGAGTCGTTTTTTCTTTCAATGGCTTGTGGAATCGCACTCTTAGCCTCCTCCAAGCTGACCTACACTACGCTGGTGTTTACAAGTGCCAGGTTCGCCTACGTACAAGTATAGATGAACCTATACAAGCTGTGGCACAAGTTGTCATACATGGTAAACCTGAACAATGTTGTTCTCTTAATTGTTAAGATATTCAGCTAAATGCAGTAAAATATATACAGTATTGAGACCAAATATAGAAAAACTCTCCATTTATTATAGAACACAATACTGTACTTTATTAATGGATCATATTATTACTCTTTCTTCTAACTTTATTCTTCTTCACAGATCGACCAAAATTAACAAAACAACTGCCTGTAGATACTTATGCAGATTTAGGCAAAACATTGACTATTCCTTGTTCTGTGGCTGGGACACCTATACCCTATGTTACCTGGTATAGGGATGCTGTTAATGTCATTACTCTGGATGATAACAGGTGAGTGATATTTGGCAGATGTTGAAAATTCATTCAATATTATGATACACTCTGGACAGTAGATAGGACTACTGTACAGTACAATTTTTACAAATACAGTACTGTACATGATATAGCACATTCAGTTCTGTACTATACAGTTTGGAAGTACCTGTACAAGATGACAGTGCTATCAAAATTTGTGAGAGGTAGTAAAGTACAAGATGCAATTTTACTGGTGTCAACAAAGTCTTATATTTATTGAATAAGGAATATTTCTTATTGCTTTTATTTTTTATTTTCCGTTAGGTATCGAGTCCTTCTCAACGGATCCCTGGCCATTTCTGCAGTTCAAGTCAATGACACAGGAATGTATCAGTGTCTGGCATCTAATGCTGCAGGAGAAACTTCTGCCTATACTTGGCTCAAAGTAAAAAGTGAGTACAGTACAGTATCTCCTATATGTGGCCGTCTGATGGTAGAGTATTGCACCTGCATCACTTCTTGTTAAGGATTGGGCATTAGCACAGTACTAATTTTTAACTTAAGTTTTCAGAGAATGCGTATTTAAATGGTGGATATTATCAAGTTAACAAATGTAATGATTGAACCTTAATTTAATATTAATGAGTTGATTATAAGAAGGGTGTGTATGCGAGTTTTACTGAAATAACATTGCTTTGAAAAATGTCAATGCCATAACTTATCTAAACTATTTACTTACTGTCTTATGCATGGTTGGGTGTGCTTATAAGTAACATTAGTTCATATTACGAGGGTATTATCCTACTCTTAAGTAGTAGTTAACATTAGCATACTGTAATCCTTTTCCATGGCAACAAGTATAACATTATTATTATTTTTTAAAGTAGACATACTGTAGTAATTTACTGTAGAGGTTTACTGTAATTCCTATGGTAGAATGTTGTGGTTATAAGTCTTCAGTGTGGTTAGTTGAGTTTTCTGGGGAAGATTGGTGATAAAGAATATTATTATCTGTTATGTTAAGTACAGTAATACTGTATCACTTTACAGTCCTCTTAATCTGGTATATAGTAGTTCAGTATCACAGGGCTATTTTTATAGTGAGTGCACATTTCTGATATTCATAGCACAGTGTTGTATGTAGAATTTTCCCTCTTGCAGATATTGTTCACATTATACACCTTAGTTCATACTACGTATATTTCCTCTGATAAACATACTCGTATTCCTTGTCTGTATTATTCCACCTTTATTTTCCTCCAGTTGCAGTACAGTAATCTATTCATCCAGCTGATGAATATACAGTTACACATAACACATACATAAGAATTGCATGTTTCATCGTCACAGTGCTGGATAATTCTGTCATTATTGTGAGATGATTATCCTTGTATTAAGTAGTCCTGTAAACATCATAAATATTATAAAGACAAGAATTTCAGATCCATTCATATAAATGCTTTTTTTCAGTATTTTATATCATAACCTAATGCTTTGATATCCTGTAATTCTTCCATGAATGACATTAACTGTGGGGTCCTGGCAGCGCGATGGGACGATCCTTCTTCTAATCGTGTACACAGGTCCTTGAAATCGAGGGCCTTTGTTCAGTATCGTAAGATCTGTACTAACAAGTGCATGTGCATGTTATAATCATTCTTTGCTTACTCCTGCACTTTAGCTTCAGGTTGTGGTATAAGATTATTTCTTTATCTATGCATGTTTTGGCTGAGGTGATGAAACAGTAAAGCATAATCAGTGGATGGTGTTAAAGAGCTTGGACACCAAGTGGAGTAATAATAAGTCTTTTATAGTGTGTTTGCAGTAATGAGACAGTACAGGGTATAGCACTGTGAGCCATTCGAGATGTAATGATTATAATGCTGCATGTTGGCTAAAAAAGAACATGGCATCTTGATCATCATAGGTAACATCCTTTCTGTCGTCTCCCTTGAATTTGTAAGGTAACAGCCCCCAAGCCAGAAGGGTTAGGTTAGCTCAAGACACTGAGATGGCTAATGACCAACTCAGCATACACCACAGCAGAATAACACTCCACCAACCCTGACTGGCCCTAGGACTGAACCTGTGTTTCTTGTACAGTCGTGGGAGTCCAGAGTGTTACAACTGAGCCATAGTGTTTACTAACTTCACTACATTTTAGTTAGTATCTGTTTAATCATCACCTATTAGATGAAAGAGACACCATAGTGACTTAGATAGATTGATATGGTAGATAAAAAACCAATACAGAGTATCCACCTTTTTGTCAATATATTTTGTGTGTAAGTGTAGACAGATATATTTGTGTTAATAATTTGCTCGGTGTACTGTACATGCTAAAGGACCACATGTATCATTTTAATATTTTTTATATATAATTAATGTACTACAGTACCTACTGCTTTTGTGTGTGTCAGTGTGTATATAGTTTATTTTTATATTTTTGTAATTATTAGCTTTGTGAGCTTGTAATTGTCTGTATTACTAAATTAGTATTGATATGTTGTATAAATTTGATGAAGATTTTACTTCTTTGTGCTTAACTGAAGCACTTAAGTTTTTAATATATTTTATGAGAATTAAACCTATGTCATGATAACTTGATTTGGTGGTAATTAGTTAATATATTTATTTTTGTATTTCAAATGATTGTGACCCTGATGTTGGATACAGGACTTTAATTAGGAAAAGAGATGTAAAAAATGTGTTGGAAATTTACATGTACACTATAGTGCTTTCTTTGTCTTCTAATCCCAGAGGAAGGGAAACCTATGAGCTGTATCAATTTTTAGAGAACTGTCACTTGCACAGTACCTGAACTTGTAAAATCATAAACATTCTTTGAAGGAAAAATATGGGACTTTACAAAAACAGTTTGTGGTCCACCCCCACATCCTCTCCTGGATCCACTAATAAAAATATTAAAAGACTGGTGTGTTGATTGGTGTGCTTGTTTGGTTGATATTCCAGGATGAAATGAGTGTTACTGCTTGAAATTCCTCATGTATGTCTCATCAGATTCTATCTTGAAAATTCTTAAAAAGTTAATGTGAGTGTGTGCTCAGTGTCAGCTTTGATTATTTTTCATGCTTTCCCGATTCATTATCCAAATGGTATTTGTTTTTAAGGTTAAAGGAAACTAAATTTGCAAAACAATGTTATTTTGATGTGTTAAGTTGTGTTAAATGTAATGGTACAGTATATAAAAAATTTTCTACCGCATTTTGATTTTCTTACTGTTAGAAAAATTCTGTTTAATTCTTACAATAAAAAGAAATTGGTCATTTTGCCTGTGTCTTTTCTCATTATTGGAGGTGCAACATTACTCTAACATGCCCTTTATTGTGTCTGGTAGCTTCTGCTCCCCTTATGGTGATGACGCCTGAGAACATGACTGTGCTGGATGGCCAGGATGCTACAATTTCATGCCGTGCAGGTGGAGCTCCTCAGCCCAATGTTACCTGGCTGTATAATGGTATGACATGTGACCTTCAGTTCATGAAAATACAAGGTTTTTATTGATAATTTTTTATATTTATATATTTTTAGATATAATTACAATATGGACTTAGTCTTTGTAATGTACCTCTTGAATACCCTGTATACAGTTTAGAGACGAGAATGTTCAGATGTAAAACAGGTTATCTCATTACTGTATTGTGTTATGTTGCAGATGACTTAGAGCTGGTGGAAAATGGTCACTATCAGATTCTCAGTTCAGGAGATTTGCTGATAGCTGGTGTCAACACACGGGATGAGGGGAAATACACCTGCCTTCGCTCCAATGAAGCGGGAACTGTGTCAGGTGATGCTTGGCTCTCCATCCTAGGTGAGTGGCTGGGAAGTGTTAAGATGACATTATTTTTCACTGATTGTCATTTGTAATACAGTGTTTTATAAGATACTGGAAAGTTATAAGTTTATTACTCCATTGTTTAACACATTGTGGTATCAATTGTATGTAAATGTTGTTAATCATTCTATCTTTTATTGTTTCCAGCATTCACAGTAGTGTGGCCCCTGTAGCATCTCAATGATACCTTAAAAGATATTGTCTGTTACTTTTATTCCATTAACTGATGCTTAGTGAACATGCATGGTAAAGGGAAGTTCTATTCTAATATTGATGTTATTTTTGTGATTTAGCTGAAGTAAACCAGTTACGGGCATTCATAAATCTTCATTTACAAGGGAAATTTCTAATAGAACTTTTTAAAATCTGGACTTAGGCCAGCCAGTGATCATGTGTTACCCTGACCTACTAGAATCAAAAGGTGCCCCAAAAGACCCTGTCCACCACCCTTGACTGCTGACTTCCTACCCTGTTCACCTCTTCCACCACCCCTTCTTACCCTACATTGCCTTGACCTGCACTTCATATGTTGCAAGTGTTATCATAGTTTTTTGTTGTGTTGATACTCTACAAGCCACATGTAAATACTAGTACAGTTTATACTGTTCCTATAATTCATATTGTCAGCTAATTTGACCCACACTCACAGTGACTCACTACATGTAATTTATATTAGGAAGATTTTATAACCATTGCTAATAATACGATTTTTTCTCCAGTCAAAACACAAATATCACAGCCGCCAGTGGACACGAGGGTTATACTAGGTCGAGTAGCATCACTGCAGTGTAAGGTGTCCCATGCTCCTACAGTGTCAGTCCAAGTCCAATGGTTTAATGGAAATATTGCCATTGATCCTGAGGGAAGTCCTCGCATCAGTGTGCGACAAGATGGAACACTGGAGATACAGGAAGTTAGGGCAGCAGATGTTGGATTATACACTTGTGTGGTAAGATCATCTGATATTGATGTGTAAATACTGTAGAACTCTTTGGGGTAGAATTCTCAAATATTTGATTGATCACTAAGACAAGGTGGTACCTGTGTTATTTATAGATTTTTTATTGTTTCTTATCCACGAAATTTGAGACTCATTAAAATTTAAGCATACTGTACTTGGGTTTTTAACTAATTAGCTGAAATTTATTGGTAGTCTAAAGAAGGAAAATCTGAACACAAATGGAAGATATAAAAGATTATTATTGAGAAAGTTAATTAAAGTTGCTGTTCATTCATTTATTACCACTGCACCTTTCCTCTAACTCTTATGGTAACTTTTCACTTGGGTTGTTTAGCTCCTGTTGTGTGTCTCAACCTTTTGAATTCTTATTGTGATATGAAAAATGAAAAGAAGGCAATATCTTTCCTTTTGGGAGTCAAACCAATGTTCTTAAATATTTTAACAAGTGTGTATGGTATTTTAACGTTTACTTAAGAATTTCTATATTTAAATTTATATGATTTCTCGTTTCCCATTTCTAGCTTTGTCTTTCTATTTTCATTCACTTCTGGCACTCAATTTTACCCACAATTTTTATTATGTCTTTCACTAACTCTCTCACTCAGATCATCACTGTCATGCCATCAATTCAAGCTTTTAACTTTAGATATGCAATACTGTATAATGTAGCGTTACTCTCAAACTTTTATGGTATATTTTAGGTCATATCGTCTGGTGGAAATGAAACTCGATCTGCTCGCTTAGAGGTGATAGAGCTGCCTTACGCCCCAACTGGTGTACAGGCTGCCCGCACTCCTCGCTTCCCAAAATCTGTGCAAATCACCTGGACTCCAACGTTTGACGGAAATAGTCCGATAATAAAATTCATCATTCAGAAAAGAGAAGTTCCCACAGAAGGTTTGTTGAGTTCTTATATGATGGTGGTTTATAGATAAATTGAAGTTAATGATAATTCTCAAATGTTTGGAACTTTTAGAGTCATGAAATTATCTGTGAAAATATTTTGTCTCTGGATTTAGTAGTTCCTAAAGTTTGTTGTTAAATTCTGTTAAATGTTATAATGCATTCATATAAACTGATTGGGACTGCTAAAGTTTCTCTAGTTCAAGGAATTGTTTAAGTAAAAAGTAAACAACCCTGAACAAATAAAGTAAGCTCTTACATACTCATTATGACTGAAAGAACAAACCTACCTGAAGTGATGGAACTTCCCTCCAGTTTTGTAATTATCATTCTTGATTTTGCAGGAGTAGTTGATGATTTAGGTCTGAACTGGGTGACGGTGCTGACTAATGTGAGTGCTGCAGCTAATGAGGCTATAGTAGGGGACCTCCGACCCTCCACAGGCTATCAGTTTCGAGTGTCGGCTGTAAATAATGTTGGAGAGGGATCACCATCTGAACCATCCAACACAGTTATCCTCCCCCAGGAAGGTGTGTGGGGTAGAATTTATTTAACACTATAGTATCAGTACACCAAATTAATACACGAATGAATAAATATACTTCTATAAAGGGCAAGATAATTTTGTTGGTTAGAATAATAAGGTAATAAATCATTATATAATATTGAGGTCTGATAGCTTAATTCTAGTTGATGTAATTTATTTAATATTTGTAGTTTTTTATACCATCGGTATTTTGTTTTTACTCACTATTTAGGTTTAGTGTTAATATACCAACAAGGTAATGTGTTTGTGGCAATCCAACTGACTAAATATTTCTTGAAGTGAAAATATATTTATAAAATGTACTGGGACAAAATGAACCCCAGAAAACTTCATTTAACAAGACATAAAATAGGGTGTCATGAGGGGTATACAATGTACTAGTAATCCAAAGTTATTTTTCATGGACAAAGTCGGTTGTATCATAAGGTTAGCAGTATGAACTAGCCAATAATGCAAGCTCTCAGTGCATGAACCTGAGGGGATTTACTGTATTAGGATCTGTTTTGAGAAAGAATTTTACATTTCTGTTTTCTATCTTCTCTGGTGTTATAATTAATACTGTTTATTTTTCTACAGCACCATCTGGGCCCCCCCAAGGGTTGGTTGGCTCTCCCAGATCCTCAGCAGAAATTATGATCCAGTGGGAAGCACCGCCTGAGGAAGAGAGGAATGGGGTGGTTCTTGGCTACATGGTGCGCTACAGACTGTGGGGATATAAGGATTCACAGTGGTACTACCGCAACATTACCAAAGAGGTTTGTGATTTTTAACCTTTAGTTTAATATAACATGTACAGTACTGTATGTATATAAATTTTAGCTTTGACCTCATGTCAAGCACATCTATTCTCTATCCAGCTTCAGAATCTTTCCAAATAGGTTCCTTTGGGTTCTGTACTCTCTCTGACTCTCTTCAACTTGCTTCCCTAAAGCTCCTCCAAACACATTATGAATCTCCTGGTTATCCAACTTAGCAATAGCCTCCCAATATGTAAAATCTCTTCAGTCCACCAACATACTTCAAGAATATATACACAAACTAGATCAATGGCTCACTCACAACTTTGTGACAGTATCACCTTCAGAATTTACCACAATATTCTTCATCCCCAGATAGACTCGAGTCTTAAAGTTCACCCATACAGTACACTATTTAACCAACAGCTACCACTAGATAAACACTCTAAAAACTTTGGCATTGCATTGGACACACACTTTATCTTCATGCAGTACATAAATGACATCACCAAAACCATACACCTGTACTGTACTGTACAGTCACTCAAAAAACTATCTTTACAAAAATGTGTTGAAAAAATGACACAACGGACAACCCTATCTAGGCAACAGGAGTCACTGTTCATTCTGAAATTCATCAACCCCCTCCAAGTAGAGATAGTTTATTGAGTGACTGTACTAACTCGATACATTATATCTTTTTTTTTTGTGGGCGGGGGGTAGGGGGGGGCATAAACAACAGTATATATAAACAGTTTATCAGCACTTCAGTAAACTATATTGGTGCAAGTTGCAACATCTGCTCCCATCATCCCAAAATTTCAAAAGCTCGGAAAAAGCCCTAGGAACAATGAACAGTACTACCGGTACCTCACAACACAACACACCACACGACTGGAGGAAACTACAGCGGGCCTATTGGCCCATACTGGGCAGTCCCATTTACACCCAACCTCTATCGCTCATATATCCATCCAACCTATGTTTGAAGCTATCCAGCATATTTGAGTTAATGATGATGTTTGGTAACTTGTTCCACTCGTCCACTACTCTATTTCCGCACCAATCCTTACCTATTTTGCGCCTAAATCTAAATTTGTCTAATTTAAGACCATTGTTTCGAGTTCGCTCCTGGTTGGATAGTTTGAGTACGTACCTTTGTAATGTCACCTTTGTTTAACCCTGACTTCCATTTATACACCTCGATCATATCGCCCCTCACTCTACTTCTCTCGAGGGAGTGCAAATTAAGATGCTTTAACCTGTCTCTGTACTCAAGGTTCCTAATGCCCGGGATTAGTCTTGTAATTCTCCTTTGAATTCTTTCTAGCATATGAACCTGAGTGTTAAGAAACATGGTCCTTAAATAGCAGTGTTGAACTATACATTTAGGTCACCTGTACTTTGCGTATGGCTTGATTTCTGTTTTCTCAATGACTATTTGATAATCTTTGTATGTTGGTGGAATGTTTTGATTATGAAAAGTATTTCTTGCAGCTATGTTTAATTTTTTTTTTTTTAATTCTATGTATGGCAATGTTCAATTTGTGTAATGTACCCTGGCACACATGATCTTCTCAAACTATATTTCAGTTTTGATGCATGATTATTATTTTTTTTTTTTTATGTATTGATATTTTATTATTTATATTAGATGGATAGAAGGTGAACTCTGTACACACCATTGTTACTGAAAACTTTATGGAAAATAATTATGAATTATTATTTAGCCAGATTAACTTTTGTAAATGAAGAAGCTTTTTATCTTAAGGAATTAAGTTTGGGTGTTAGATACGGACTGAGGAGAGACACCAAGTGGTAGCAAGAATCATGGCTTGTTTATTGGTTGAATTCTTCTCTAGTGTGTATCAGATTTTGTTCTCACTGTATCTTCAGAAATGACATAGTAGCTTCACTGGATATTTTGATGGCCCTATAATGAGGCTTGGGGGTCAGCATATACCCCAGTTTTAAACTTGCAATACTGTATAATTCAAAATTTGATAAATCATGCCAAATATTGTGCGCCTCTGTGTTTCCTTACCAGGTACATGTTTTGTGCTGATGTATTTTTTGTGCAACTACTTATGTGTATCATTGGCACCTCAATCCTCCTGGGGAATTCTCCTCTTTGGGGGATTGCCACATTTAGAATCAGTCCGGTTAGTACCTAAATTGATGTACCAATTTTGAAACACCATTTGCATTACGTACATCGGTGTGACATATCCAGAGTTTATTGTTCCTTTCTTACACTGCACTGCACTGCATGATTGAGATCTTAAATACTGTACTGTACACTGAATTTTTAGATTGTTGTATGCCTGTTAAATGAAGGTGGAGACAATCATTATATCAGTCACCTTTCTAGGATGAGATAATGAGGGGTAGACTCCACAGTGATTCTTGGCCATACTATGATTTAATCTTTGTTCATAGACTAAGAAAATCTTTTACTGTGCATAATGGGTCCAACAGTTATTAATGGTTATCCTCCACCATGAGTTAATACTCCAGCTGATAAAAACCTCATTATATATCCTGCCTTACAGTACTCCATCTTCTTGGGCTTATTTGTTTTTTATTTTGTATTCATTGCCATAATTATGGTGCTGTATCTTTATTATTTGATCTGTCTAATTTGACTGCCATCTCTGTGCTGATTTTTTTAAAAGATTTTGTTATTTTCATTATTTCATATTTTGTCTTCATTTCTGAACTAGAGTTTAAAGACTGTGCAACGCTTCGTTGTTGGCCACAAGTATAAGGTATGACTCTGAGTGTTGTGAGGTAGAGGCATGTCCAGTATATATTAGATGATTAGTTTTAGATGTTAAGCACTAGAAAGAAGAGAGAGGCTGTACCAAACTAGCAACATAGTCATAAATAACCAACTAGTTAGCATGTTGTGCAGAATTAGATCTAAGAAGACTGAGTAGACAAATATTTAGAAAGATGGATTAATATGAAATAGATGGTAAAAAACATGTTGATATCTTTTCCAGAATGTTCACTGTACTGTATTACCACTAGTACATGTCTTGATGTAACAGAAAACATTGAAATGTGTCTAATGTCATCTGGAAAGTAATACACAGTATATGTACCTGATACTACTATATTTTTTTCCAATTCCAGAACCAACACAACTATCTTATTGGAGGTTTGATAATATGGAAAGATTATGAGATCCAAGTTGCTGCATATAACATCAAGGGCGTTGGTGTCTACTCACGCAGTATACGACTCAAGACCAAGGAGGGGATACCAGCAGCCCCACCCAAGGCAGTCGAGGCTGTTGCTGTCAGTTCAACCACCATCAAAGTATCATGGAAGCCACCTGATCCCTGGATGATTAACGGAATTAATCAGGGTTATAAAGTACAAGCATGGCGAAGTGAGTGTAACCTTCAAGATATATTAGACTCTTCTGGATTGTGTTTGTTCTCATCTTCATATCTTTTTATTAGGGTTGAAATAATAATAATAATAATAAATAAATAAAAAATGTCATGTAATTAGTTCAAGATAATGTTGAGTGGTAAAGCAGTCCTGGAGAACAAGTGTTAGGTTTTCATACCGAGACCTGAAGATTACCATATATTCTATCCATGGGTTTGTCTAATAAGGTAACTCCAGCATTCACAACAGGACAGCTCCAATATAAACTTCTCCAATTTTCGTCTAGTTTAGTAGTGCATAGAAATAAATACTTTTATAAGGTATGCTTTGAATACATTTAGCAAGAATAAAAAACAAATTGAAGATAAATATGTAAAATCTTATCAATATTCACTTTTATACTACTTTACAGATGAACCAGAGGATGCCATTGAACCAGATAAAACTTTGACAGTTCCTCCAAATCCATATCCAGATGCTAATGAATCTGCAGAACTGACTGACTTAGACAAATACACAGAGTATTATCTCACAGTCCTCTGTTTCACACATCCTGGTGATGGCAAGCGCTCCCAACCAATAAAGCTTCAAACACTTGAAGATGGTAAGTTAAGCTTTAATGTACTTTTAATGAATACTGTATTGAAGAGATGTAATTCATCTTTCAGATTATTTAGTGTATGAGTATTCTTTACAGACTTTGAAAGGGGTTATGGAATACTCCTAGGTTAATACAGTATTTATTGGTGATGGGGGGGAATTTTTTTAGTTTTTCTTTTGTGATTAAAATTAACCTTAATGTCCTTATTTTGTATCTTTCTAGTCCCAGATACAGTAGTGAACCTGAAGTTTGAGGATGTAAGTGATCGGTCAGTACGGGTGCTGTGGGATGAACCCGACCAAAGTAATGGGATCCTGAAGGGCTACACCCTCTCCTATATGGTTAAGGACTCTCCTCACACCAAGATTGTTCAAAATTTGACTGCTGATGTTACAACATACTTGGTTACTGAACTGTCTGTAAGTTTATCATCTTTTGGACAAGGTTTAGAATTTACTAATAGTTGGTCTTGTATTTGGATTAACATTTGTGAAAGAGGAATTTTGGATTTATAATTAATGTTAAACTGTATATGTCCCTGAGTGTTAACATCACTAGTGCTTAAATTTTTAAGTTAATACAAGCATCCAGTCATTAAAACTAATGCAGTAACAAATGTGCATATTGTTTGTATCACCTTCAAATTGTCCAGTATTGGCTTTCAACACTATATAGTGTCCTTTAAGGGTAGCTGTAGTATGTCTAAGTGATCATGATGCAAGAGGTCATCGTTTGTCATGCTTAAATTTAGTGAACATTGATAGGGTATGATTTATCTGCCTTAAAGAATTGTGTGTAACAGAAGTTGTTATATCTGTATTTTATTTTGTAATTGTGCTTTGTTATTTCTTCACTTTGAAAAGTATGAAAGCATGCCATTCTCTGTAAAATTATTCACTTCTAACAATCATTATTATTATTATTTTTCCATCAACAGGCAACAACCTTCTATACATTTGAGGTGTATGCTTGGACCTCTGTAGGACCAGGCACACCAGTGGTAGCAACACTTCAGTCAGGCGTTGAACCAGTTTTACCAGAGCCACCAACCCGACTGGCTGTCTCAAACATTCAGGCTTTTTCTGTGGTGCTTCAGTTTACCCCGGGCTTTGATGGAAATGCTTCTATATCCACGTGGACTGTGCAGGTAAGATGAAGGATTCTGCCAGACATGAGAATAGTGACTTATTGAAGGAGCTGTATGAAGAGAGCATGATGGTTAAACTTATCTGGGAAGTGTTCTTTAATGACTGGAGAACATGAAATGGAGGGATTTTGGGGAAGGGCTTACTGCTGATGGCTGATGCTAGGCTAGAGCAAGGACTAATTATGAGAATGGATGAATGGTAGCAACTGTGTTTATTAAAAGAGTATAAATAAAAAAACAAGCTTTAGGCTCTAAGTAGAGTTAATAATGGTTTCCTTGATTATGGCGATAAGTTCAGTTTTGTGTAGGGCTTCAATTATTATGATTATTTATTTACATTACTCTGAGAACCAGTTTTCCTTTTCCTGAAAAATTATTTACATAGCTTCACCCCTTTATGAAGATTCATGACAACATCCAGTAATTTCCCATTAACCCATACATTTTCATTACTTCCATAGTCATATTCTATATACTTTTTCATATGTTTCTTCTAGGTTCATAAATGCCAGAACAAAGGTTTTAACTTTTGAATATTTTCACTCGTGTTTTTAAGTTCAAACACTTGATTACCACAACCACTAACCTTCACTTATTTTTCTGAACTCACACAGTTGTTTTCTTAACACACAATATGTTTTTATATTTTCAGGCACAGTCTTCTCGTAGCAGCACATGGGAAACAATATATGATGTTTCTGCTCCAGATGCCTCCACAATTACAGTTCAAAACCTCATCCCATATACTAAGTATCGTCTGCGACTCATTGCAAACAATGTAGTTGGAGCATCATCCCCCTCTGAGTCATCACCAGATTTCCAAACCCTCCAGGCAGAGCCAGCTCATCCACCATCAAATATGACCGTGAGAGCTATGTCCTCCACTCAGCTTCGAGTTCGATGGATAGTAAGTCGTGTCTAATGTACTGTTTGTCACATAGCATATAAGGAGTGGACTATAGTTATGGTTAACAAATTTCTAAAGAACAGTTTTGTAATCTTTTTCATTTCCATCACTGTCCTTGGCTCACTCACATTACCAGAAAAAGTAAATTTATCCCAAATCTTAAAAGCTGCTGTCTTGGGTAACAATTAAATGCTAAAACCTCAATACAAACCCGCAGATTCAGAATCCTAAACCCAAAGCATCTGTGGACAGATTAATGTGTCAGTATTAACTGCCTCAAGTTCATGAATCTGAATCATGGGGTTTGGGGAGCAGCAAGAGAGGCGTTAAGACTTTTCTTCATTACTCTACATTCTGTTTTTCTTATGAATTTTAAATGCACTATCACTTATTACAGCATTAAATTTTTGTAATATAATGAAAAGTGATTTAACAAGTACTGTACAGTATATGATATCCTCCATTACAGCCACTGCAGCAGTTTGAGTGGTATGGTGCACCTCAGGGTTACCGCATTCGTTATCGACCAATCGGATGTGAATGTGACTTTTCTGAAGACTTTGTATACGACAACACTGCCAACTCACATCAGCTGGTAGACTTACAAGAATACACACTTTATGAAGTGACAATGGTTGCTGTAAATGATATTGGCCCTTCATCTTTGGCTCCTGTTGCTATTGAGAGAACTAGAGAGTCAGGTAAGCTTTTGTATTTTTCACATATGTAATAATAACTTGCACTATTTAATGTTGAACTAGTGACATGTTGTTCCTTCTCGTAACTTTATACAGCAGTTAGGATATTCTTGGTAACCTATGATAAATTAGCCTTTTTTCAATTGATGCTTTTCCCTTCATCTCGGCTGGTGTAATTAAGACACATTCATATGATATACTGTATGTCTAAAGTTCAAGTTAGAAGTGTTTTACATAGATACTACAGGAACAGACACATAAGTGATTTTAACATGCTTAGGTTAATGAGGTATTGGACATTCTTTGTTGCCTGGATCCCACACCACTCAGTCAATTGAACTAACATCAAAACTTTAATCACATTTATAATCTCCACGTGGCTGTGCAGTACAGTATTTCAAAGTGCATTTGTTTATTGTAGCTCATCTATGAGTATATTGGGTTTCAAGTCATCATAGCCAGTGCTGTAAATCCATTTACTTTTGGACTTTTATAAAGTTTATTATGATCATAAACAGAATATGAGAAATTTTCAGATTTTTCAATTTTGAAAATATAAAGAGGCAAGCATTACAATTCTGAACCTTACATTTGTTTAGCCATAGTGCTTGTATTTGCTCTATCATATATATGAGGAGCTCTGGACCATAATCTGCTTAGTGCCAAAATTGAAAATGGAGGAAATGTTCAGGTAGGAATGTGTGACATACAATAGTCTTTTCAGAGGACTCACCCACATAATACATGTTCCCAATTGGCTCTCTGACTTACCCAGTGATATATGGCTCTTAGCAGGTTATGGTCTGGAGCTCCTCATATTTATTACTCATTTGTCCACAGTTGACTTGTAATTCACCTCTCCTTTAATTTCTTGTTTAAGTGAGTTGAACCTGAGCTTTTGACAGATAAAATGTCTTATTTTACAAAAGGCAGAAGTCTGTATTATATTCCATGACCTTTTTTATAGCCCGTATATCATTCAACAAATGACGTGTAAAACAGGATTTCACAATTTTCTCTACATTTTGTCCGTCACTCATGTAGTTGTAATTTACTTTAACAGTCAATTGAATATTACAAAACATAATGTTTTCTGTATTTCAGCTCAACATATTACAAACTTTTATTTTGTTATTATTATCTTTAGTTATAGCACCTTCAATGATTTATTTTTTATCTATTGATCTTAAGTTATCTTTTAGGTGTACTTGATGGAGTAGTTTTCTTTTTACTTATATCTACAGTGTAAGCAAGGGGTGACTGCTTCACTTGCAAAAATTTTCAGGAAACATTTACAGGCAATTGTGTTGAGTGTTAACACTTGGGAGTGTGGCAGTGGTTAGTGACAGATAAATGTGTGGAGGATTATGTGAGCACCAGTTACTGCTACTGTAATTTAGGAGAAGATATGACAAAATACAAATTAAATTTAAATAAATAATAACAATTTAAATTGTAATAACTAATGACTAGTGAATCACTGGAAAATACTCATGTATGGCAGAATTAACAGGATTTCAAAATTGTTTTCATGTTTCTCGGTGTAACAGCTTTAATCAGGAAACTAAAGTTACTAAGGGGTACGTAAATTTTCCTCCAATAGCAGCACTCGGTTAGCATTGTGAGCTTAGACGTGTGTGTGTCTCCTTGGTTTGCACTGATCTTTGTTTACTTAGTGTCATATATACTGAACTACAAGTTGCATGTCTTTCAGTATTATCTGGTGATAATTAGAGTGAATAGTGTTCACTGTACTTGCTGTTTATTTCAATTGAATGTTTATTTATTTTTTCTCATTATTATTAACTGTGCTAGTATTTATGGTGTGTCCTTGATATAACTATTTCTCTCGAGTTTGACTGTTTGACATTAGTTGTGGTCCATTCCATGAATCTTATTTGTCATACATTTTTCACTACCTAGTCCTCATTTTTTATTTACTTATTTGTTTATTTTTAGTTCTTGTACAAAATTATGAACATGAATAGTATTTGGTAAAGTATATAATTTTCAGGTATCATGAGGTAATTCAGGAATTTTCACAATATACCTTTGAGACATGGCCCTCTCCAAATTTCTGGGGAAGGTCGGGAGAGTTTGGGATTTGAAGAAACATTGTTGCATACTCGTATAGTAGTAGAGATACTGTACTATTATTATCAGCTGAGGAATGGTGTTCAAGGTCATAGTATGTTGAAATAGCACTGCTTCTCAAATTAAATAAATTAATTGGTAGGATTTTTAAACACATCAGGACAAAATATAAACCTGGCAGGGAAACTTTTAAGTGTGTGCTTGTGTGATATTCTAAGCATTTTGGTGCCAACACATTATAGGTCTTTAGGAAAACTGTGATATTCATAACAAAAATTAAATATATGGCAACTAGATGAGGGTGGTTCATAAGAATTGTATGCAAACATTTTAGCTGTTAGCCATCACTGTCCTTCACTTGTGAACGACCAAAGAGCTGTAAACCTCTTTATTTCTGGCTTGACTATCACATCAGTGAAACCCTCCCTACTTACACAGAGAAATAAAAATACTGTATGTGAAGAAATATAAACCTATAATGGAAATAATGAAAATAAATTAAAAACAGAAGTAAAAATAAAGCATCAAGTTTCAGATGAAAAAAGTAACAGTTCTGGATAGCAGTGAAATATAAGATTAATGGAAAAATTAAGAACATACAGTATAAGGTAACCTCTAAACATACCTTTTATATGTCACCAAACAAGATACTTGTAGTACCTTCATTCACAATGAGAGAGAGGGCGTTTACTCTACTTCTCCTATTTATCAAGTGTCAACCAAATACTGTGCAGTGCTCAGAAACAACATCACTACAGCCATCCGGTATATTTTCAATGTTCTTGAGTGCATTTTAACTGAAATACGGATATCAAATTTTTTCTGATTGTGTAGTGCAGTCTCTATTATCTAAAATCAGAATTTACCCCACTTTTACAGAGTATAAAATAGAAGAATCTGTTAGTATTTCAGTTTCAATTCTCAATGGAGTTCTGAAAATATATGCAAATTAGATTTTTACACATTTATCAAGATTGACCAAATTGTGTTGTTGTTCACCCAGTTCATAAACTCCTCTTGCTTATTTCATATTACTTGATTGTTGGAGTTGATTTAGCTAAACTTTTTAGAAATAATGTACAGTACCATTCCTAAACCTTTTGTCAAATACAGCATCAATATCCCTGTGTCAATATCCCTGGTAACAGTACATGTTATTTATTGGGAGGTTTGAATGAAGTAAAAAAAAATGAGTTGGTAATTATTAGATGTAGTACAGTATATGGACAAACAAATGGACAGACTGATAGAAGGTGGATAAAAAACAGATAGATACAGACAGACAGACAGATAGACAGACAGATAAATAGATAGGGTACATTTAGTGCTCAAAAGACTTATTAATATGTTGCCTATAGTTTTTGCAGGATAATACTTAAATTGATCAAAACTGTACTCTCATATATGATGGCCACAGCATCACAACCCACACATACGTTTAAATTTAGAATTACAAGCTTGTTTCACTCCATTTAACCTTATTTATCTTTAGTGTAATTGTCCTTCTCTTTGCTATTAAAAATTTCCCTATTTGGTGTAATTTACTCACTTAAAATGGAGTCTGAGTAATGATCATTCTGAGTTATAGGTGTTTTATCTGTACACAGTTTCCTTTATAATATAGGAATGTCATTCATGTCATATTATTTTTTGAGGTGTTTAATATAATGCTTCTCAATCATCTTTCTTTATTGATGTCTGTAGGTTTATCTTTGCATCACTTTTAAGAAATATATACTTTTGTAATGATTCCACTGGGTTGTTCATATACCAGTAGCTGTTCTGTTCTCTTGCTTCTTTCTCACTTCCATTACTGATGATTTTGTTAATATGTTCTGTATTTATATCTTGCTTCAGGTGATGTGGTTGATACAGAAGTAATTTGAAATGTTTAAGTAATTTTCCAGCTTTTTCACCTGACTAAGGTCTTGGTTTTCTTTGAGATGTGTAATGCTTATCCTTGACAGTAGTTTACTTCAAGTGACATGGTAGGTTGTGTTGTCACTACCCGTAGAAGCTCTGGAGATGATATTCCTGTGAATTTTGATATTTTTCCCCGATTTGCAGTTGTCCAGATACCTTTACTTTTCCCTTTGTCAACTCTCTGTTTCTCTGTGCCTCTACCAGTAACTCATGTTAGCATGTCATGCCTGTACCTCAGTAGGGCCTTGCATAGTGCATTTGAGATAAGATAATAACTGTCTAATTGTCCTTGGATGATAATTGACTTCATTTTACACAGTCAAAAGTAAGCCATATTTTCGCTGTAAACATGTTAAACCACCACATCTTCTTATATCATTCCAAACAAGCTCATTGGAATTTTTTATTGGTTTCTAGTATTGAAATTAGAATTGCAATTTTCAGTTCCAAGTGCTGGACCAGACAGTGTTAGTGCCAATGCAACATCCTCAACAACAATTGTGGTGCGATGGAAGGAGGTGCCCAAGATTCATCAGAATGGTATCATAGAGGGATACAAAGTGGTCTATGTTGGTGAGTTTTAATTACCTGTACATGGAAATACAAATAAAAAGTAAACATGTGGGAGGAAGATGAGACATTGTGCAAAGCTGATGATAACTTGGTGATATGATTTAAGAGAGTGAAATGGTTAAAAGGTCATTAACAAAAGAGGTTATCTGTTTTTGCAGCTCAACACACTGAATGATGGCAAATGAAGGGAGAAACTGTGTTGGCTTTTGAGTTTTGTGAACTTATACCAGGAAAGAGTTTGCAAGTGTAAATAAGATGATAATCTAGGATATACAATATGACCTCTCTATTCCAAATTAATTGGTGAGCAGCCAATGCAGTGTAGGGAGATTTTCATTATAAAACAAATCTCGAAAAATTTATCCAGTACTGAACATTGTTCAGTATATATGAAAAAGTTCAATATTTTTAATCCAGATAAATTGTCACAATATTGTTTTTTTTGTTTTTATATAAGATATACAGTAGTTTGGTAACACAAGACAAAAACATCCTACAACTTCTGTATAAGTTCATCTTGTGTGAGTTAAGGAGTAGCTGTGTATGAAATTTGAATAAGATCTATGTTCTGACCTCATATGCCATCTCTTCTCTGAAAAAATGGGAAAAGGAAAACAAACTTGTTTAAGTGGTACAAGTGGTGTATTATGCAGTATTTATGATGTTTACTCAAGTTGAAAAATTTGGCAGATTGTGAGAGAAATTAAGGATATTAGTGAGGATGTCAGTCTGTGGCATATTCCTATGCCTTTATTACTTTTACATTATTAGCATTTCTAACATATGCTGACTTTGCTATTTAAACATGCTTCTTTTCACTTTCTCGTAAAAAGTTTTTTTTTTTTTTTTTTTTTTTTTTTTTTTTTTTTTTTTTTTTTTACACACACACCTAACTCTGTACCTGATATTCGACCACAAGTGGTCACAATTTGTAGTTACTTCAACTTTCATACAAAGCTAGTTTTCGACATACTTTGAGTATTTAGTGTTAATTAATATCCTTTGACATTATTACAGCTAACTTAGATCTGAAGTCTTCAAAAAACAAACATGAAATCAGGTAAAAAATAAAAAGTGATGAACTCACTGGTGTAAGCAAACCAAGACAAAGAATTGGAAACTGGCCAGCCTGCACAGAACTTTTTAATATTTTTTTTATAACTTTTTGTTTTATTTTCACTATATAAAGAATACTTCCTGGACAAAGATCTCTATAAGGAAACTGTTGCAAGAGGAAGCACTATAAGAGGTATGACTGTACTGTACTATTTTAAGTAAAATATGAGTTCTTTTTGAAATGGTTGATTTTCTTCTTGTTTTGTTTTAGGTAAAAATATGAAGCCACAAGAAAAGGTGATCCCAAACAACAATACCTTCGCTGCGACCATAACCCAGCTGCGGAAGTATTACCAGTACACGGTACAAGTGTTAGCCTATACCAGGTTAGGTGATGGGGCATTGTCCACTCCTCCTCTCTTGGTGCAGACTCACGAAGATGGTAATCAACAAGAGTTTATTATCATTGTATTGAAACAGTGACACTTTTACATGCACAGTATATTAAATCAGTTGCTCTATTTGCCAGCACTGACTTTGCCTCATCTTTGTAAGATTTGTGTCTTTGGCTACAATATAGACATTGGTGTACAACTGCATATATGTATCAATTTATCCATGATTTTGGTTTCCAGTTGTACATGTTTTCTATGAAAGTCTTATGTAATGCAGTAGTCATATTTAGATTATATCTTGATTATATTAGTGACTGTAATGTATTCATTCCTCTTATTACTTTTCCATCAGTTCCTGGACCTCCATCTGAAATCTCCTTCCCTGATGTGTCGTTCACGTATGCCCGGATCATCTGGGATGTCCCTGAAGAACCAAATGGGGAGATAACTGCATACTCCATTGTTTACCACCTGGCTGACAGCACAGACGTCAACAACACCCTGGAGTTTGGGCCAACTACGCGCACTTACAAGTAAATAGATTTAACTTTTATTTATTTAGTACTACAGTATACAAGTAATGAAGGAGTTTGCTTTGATTCTCATATGATCTTGGCTTGTAGTAAAAAACATAATGCTGACAATAACTTCTTTTTTGTTCAATCCAGAATGCGACGTCTAGCTTTATACCTAGGTATGTTAATGCCTAGCAATTTGTCTCTCATTGGATTAGGTTATACATGTACTATGTCCATACTGCATACAGTAAACCCTCTTTTTAAGATGCAACAGTTGGTGGATTGTGGCTATGTTTGGTTCTGTGACCTTATTAATTACTGTAAAATATTTTTACTGCACACTTGGATAGATAAGTACATGTAAAAAATGGATTTCAATTGTTTCACCTGTTCACAAATATAAATGAAAAAATAATATATAAACATTACACTTTACTTTTGCTAAAATTTAAATCTGTAGGAAGTTGTAGTTGGATCAGATAGTTGCTACAATAGTGGCACAGTTTACAGTAAAACAAGTGAGTTGAAAAATAAGGCAAAGCTAGTCAGAATCTTTATAGGCTTCTGGACTTTATTCCTGGAGGAGTTCTGTACAGCTGTATCATACAGTAAGTTGCTGTACATTGTTATTAATGAACATTTACAGGATACTAATTATACCTTGTATTCATATCAGGCACTACGTAGCCACAGCACAGTAAACAGTTATGTTGTTTACTTATATTACACCACTAATACAAAGGGCCCCCCAAGTTCGTGTATTTTTACTTCGCGGTTCTCGGTTAATCGCGGATGACACCCTGGATGTACCCAAGAATGTCTGTGGGTAGGTTTAAAGTTGCTGGCATTTTCGTGGCCAGGACAGGGTGCCATTCGTTCTAGAGACGGTAATTTCCTTTACCTGTATTGTAAATATGTGTGTGTGTAGACACACGCACACACAAAACACATACAAACAAATAATAAGGGGAAAATACTTTCACAAATAATCAGAAACAAATTTATTAAAAAGTTAACAGTCTACTCTCAAGTCCGTTCTCTATTACAGTACTTTATTAATAGAGCACGGACTTGAGATTACATTGTCACATTTTTAATAAATTTGTTTCTGATTATTTGTGAGAGGATTTTCCCCTTATTATTTGTTTGTATGTGTTTTGTGTGTGTGTGTGTCTACACACACACACACACACATATACAATACTACAGGTAAAGGAAATAATTGTCCTAAGGGGAAACACATAAAGAGAATATACATTTCTTTGTACACAAGTAAAAATGTTGTTCGCGGATTTGGCGATTCGCGGCCATTTTGAGAGCCTAACCCCCGCATAATATGTTAAATAATACTGTAATAGTACAGCACAATATAAACAAAAGCTTAGGGTCTTTGAAGAAGTTGTGAATTTTGAACAAAATTCACATTTTGACCTCATAAGTCGGATGTCATTTTCGCAACAGAATGCCTTTTCTCTGGAAATGAAAAATTAACGTGTTGAAAGCATAAAGGTAGTCAATATTACCGAGAAAATGCATATCAGGGCTATTTAAAACACACAGGCACAACTTATATGAAGTTTTAATTATTCTGTATGTATTAAATTAATTCAATGCTCATTTATTAACACTAATTACTTGAATTTTATAAGTCTGAACCCAGATCCATAACCAGCATGTAAAATAGTATTTCAGTAGAAATATTTTTAAGGTATTAGGCTTATCATTTTAGCCAAATTCCCGATCTCTGGGATTATGTTCCAAATCTTGGTATACGTACTGTTGATACCGTACCATTATTTTACCACGCAATGGTTGAGATTACATTCTAGTTCAGGTTGCCTTTTTTTTTCTTGCCATTAATTTTACCTGTACTACTGTACTGTATATACAGACATGGAAGCAAACTATAAATGACAAAATGTATTATCTATTCTTTATTTATAATTCAATTTATCCTTGCAGGGCTGTTGAGTTAAAGCCTGAAAGCTATTACATGTTTTTGGTGAGTGCTCGCACACGGCTAGGTTATGGCAAGGCCTTGAAAGCTCCTGTGTACACGACAAACAATAGGGAGCTGCCTGCACCTCCTTCCCGTCCCTCTATCTCCCATTCACAAATCACTTCAAGAACTATTACCTTCTCCTGGAACCCTGGCAGAGATGGGTTTGCCCCAATCAGGTGAGATCATAAGTATTTTTAAATATTTGTTTGATTATTGAAAGTTCTGTTATTTTCTCTGATACAGTAAAAAAAATCAAAATATTCCATTAGAGATTAATTGTACGTAATGTCCTACATAATAGATCATGAATTCCTAAAAATATCCAGCATAGTTCTTGTTATTTTATCCTTTGTTGACATTACTGGGCTTTTCTCTCCATATAATCCGTTAGATGAGAGGCTTCACATCTAATGGGCCCTCGATATTACGGACTTTCACCTCTACATACAGTAGTTCGTTAGATGGAGGTTTCATATGTAACAAACCTTTGATATAGCAAACCTTTCTGTCCATATAGTCCTTTAAATTGAGGTTTCACTGTACAATACTGTACTCCAAAATTTATTCATGAACTTAATTGTATCATTTTGTATTCTACAGGTACTACACAGTTCAGTATACTGAGGGAAATAGTGGTTGGCAGACTATTGATGAAAGAATAGATTATTCAAGTAACAGTTATACTGCAGAAAATCTTAAACCCTTTACTGCTTACAAGTTTCGGCTTCGGGCCACAAATGACATAGGAGCAAGTGGCTGGAGTGATGGTAGTGTGGAGGTCAGGACTCTGCCAGCTGCACCCATTGAACCTCCAACTGATATTAAGGTATGTGTATTACAGTGCTGATAACAAGCCATTTTTAAGTATCATTTAATAGGAGTTGATAGAGATGGAAAATGAGGTAACATATTATAAAAAAAGTCATTGCCTTTTGTTTAGCTAAGCAATGATGTTATATATATACAGTATATAAATTAAATTGGTAGTTAGTTTATTCATATTTGACTTTGTTTGCCAGGTTATCCCTATAACAACAAAGAGTGTACGGGTAGAATGGACACCCCTCTTCCCAAACTCCTGGAGCGGAGATGACAAGACAGGTGGCTACAGGGTAAAATACCGGCAGATGTCGGATATCCCCACAGCTTTTAGCATGCAACAAAAGGAACTGAAGAACACTTTAGCCCGAGATGTTGTACTGGAGGATCTTGAGGTAAATACTGCTTCACAGACTACACGATGCCCATTATATGTAGTAGAGGAGTTTTATTTGTCAGCAGGTATCTATAGTGTATCTAGCATGTTAAGTTAAACTGTCCACCAGGTGTCTGCTCCTTGAGGCTCTCTACTTAAACAAATCTAAACACCTGTCCTTGTCACAATTTTGTAAGCCCACATTCTCCCTTGCTCTGTCCTTTTGCTTCATTCTGAATCCTCTGATGTGTCACTGCCTGATTGAGCTTATCTTAAATTTCTTATCTAAAATAAATTCAAAACTCTCTCCTTCATCTCTGTGACCATGCAGTACAGTATCTGTATTTCTCCAGTTCTCCATTTGTCCTTCTCATGATTAAACTTTGAAATTAATCTCTCTCTTGTGAGTACTTTTACCGTTGTTGTATATCAATATTTCACCTTTGCTTTCATAAAATGGATAGTTGTCATGCTTGGTGAGTGAATAACAAAATGAGTGAAAATTAGGAAAAGTTAGTGAGTGTATACAGACATAAATGACATATGTGAAGTCTTTTATCAGTTGCTGACACAATTATCTGCACCTTTTAAAAATGTTACCAGTATCTCTTCCAAGCTCAAATGTTGGTACCAAACAAGGTTATTTTATATATACAGTATTCTTATACTGTATATGTAATACAGTACAGTACTGTACTTTCAGATGTTTGCACTATATTAGAGTTTGTTGTCAATCAAACCTGGTATTTTTAAGCCACTATTAAAAAATTCCTGTTATATTCCTGTATCATATTATTAGAAAAGGTAACATATGGAGACTGTAATATCATGGAAAGACATGTAATTTAACTGGGAGTGAAGTATATGTATTATATGTTTACTTCCACAGATGGATACAAATTATGAAGTGTTGGTGGTGGCATTTAATGCACAGGGAGAGTCACCTTCTTCTGCCCCCATCACTGTGTATGTGGGAGAAGCTGTGCCCACTGGCAATCCCAAGAATGTAAAGACTGAAGCTTTGTCATCTACTGAGATAAAGATTTCTTGGGAGGTAAGTCTTTTGAAATACTGTATATTGGTTTTGTTATTTTATTCTTTTCTTTATGTTGATTGAATTAATGCATTTACAATAAGTGATTGAATTAGCCTGGGATAAGTTTTTAATGAGCGGTTGTAATAAAAGTGAGAGGGGTTACTTATTTTTCTTTATAACAGCCTCCTGAAGAACAAGACAAAAATGGAGAACTTCTTGGCTACAAGATCTTTTATAGAAGTGAAAAAGACCCAGAAGGTTCTGATGAGGTTGAAGTAGTTGGAGCTTCAACTACAAATTATGAACTCCTGTATTTGGAAATGTATACACGATATATTATAACCATCTTATGCTTCAATCCTGCTGGGGACGGCCCCAAATCTGACCCAGTGTACTCCAGGACACTAGAAGATCTTCCTGGACCTGTTACCAATCTAAGCTTTACTGATATTACAATGAATAGCCTAAAAGTGGTTTGGAATGCTCCAACAAGACCTAATGGGAAGATTGTGGGATATCTTGTGACATATGAAACTGCAAGGCCTGATGAAAGTGAGTCATTTGTTATATGTTACACTAACTCCTTGCAAATAACATTGATTTATGTAAAATATTTTAGTATATTTATTGGTAATGCTTGTTGATACAGAATTATGAAATTAAAGACTTTTCAATAATTTGTATCAGAAATGCTATTTTCCACATAACGTTAGGGTTCTTGCTAACCTGTCTTATATAATTACAGATTTCAGTAAGCAAGTGAAGCAAAAAGTAACAACATCCTACTTACTGGTGACGTCACTAGAAGAAGAGGTTGCCTATGTGTTTAGTGTTAGAGCACAGACCATTGATTATGGTCCAGAGGTAACTTCCTTTATATTAAGAAAACTTTGTGTGATCATAGCATACAGCCATTTTTGTATGTTTGTTATGCTATTTAAGGAAATATTAAATCTTATAGATTTCTTACTACACACTGAAGGGAATGTTGTTCTCATTTTATTTATATGTTTGTCAGTGTTTGTATGTTTATAAACAATCAATATAAAAACCCCCAATAATTTAGATAAAAAAATATTGGGGACTACCTCAGCAGTGGAATGGTTAGATGTCAGTTCACCTTTCTTCTGGCTTGCATTCAATCCCAGGGTCCAGTAAAAAAAAATCTGAGTTCTTGCAGCCCTGCACCAAACTGACAGGGTACTAGCCTATCAGGGAGAGCCTTCTCCATAGGAACCTGAGGTGTTAAATATGTTTGCTGAATTGAGTGCTGGCTAAGATTAAGGAGCTTGATTTAGACAGAGAACAGGATTTTACAGTGGAGGAGTGTAGAAGTGTGTGCTAAGGTTGTGTTTTATCTAACAAGAGGCTCTTTTTAACTCTTAAATGGCAGCAAACATTAATTAATGTTAGCTGTTGGGACAGCGGCCAAAATCACCGAAAATTTCATGTTCCTTACTTTCCGGTTTTTACGGATTAGGGAATCTTATCTGCCATTTAGGGGTTACAAGTAATAATGATCAAATTTAGATAAATGTTTTAAAATGTTGACAACTATCCCATTTGTTTGCCTTTTAATATCTTACTGTGTGTATGTAGAAAAGGATTAAATATACTGTACCTCTTGAATCCGAGTAAATGGACATATTCTTGGTCTTCATCAATAGTTTTAATGAAGATGTGTAGTTATTGGAAAGTTCAGGGAAAGTAGTAAGCTTGTAACTGTCTTGAAAAATAAATGTTTTATTCTATATTTCATTATAGTTCATGTCTATAAATTATATGTATAATACATTCTCTTACTACCAGGTACAAGCAAATGTTACAACGGGTCCTCAGCCTGGATCTCCATCACGGCCAAAAGACCTAACACTAACCAAGACAGTGTCTAGTGTTACTTTACATTGGCGTAATAGTCACTCGGGAAAAGGCTCCATTCTTGGTTATTACATTGAGGCAAGAAAAATTGGTAAGTGATTATTGTTGTATAGTAGCTAACACTAGTAGATGTAACCCCACAAAATTAATAAAAGTGTAAATTTTTAAACACTTGAGTCCTATGTGTAAATTATTATTTAAATCTTGATGCAATGTAGTATTGCAAATTAATTTGACCTTGCTTATCTATCAGGAGCATGAAATTATATTAATTGTGCCTGGCAAAAACCAAAATGCATTGCACTTTTCCTATATACATTATATAGTCACAATTATTAAAAAATCACTTTCCTGTTAAAGTTGTGTTTTAGTGAAATATTGCACCTATACAAGAATAATTTTATGTGAGCACTGTGTATGAATTGAGTTTTTTATATATAGTTTTGAGCATATTTATGGTATTCCTGATTTCAAGTATTGTTGCCTATCTTTACATCCTTGCAGTAACAATATTCAATATGCATGAAATATAGGGTGTGTTTAGAAAGTAATATTGATCAGAAATAGAGTTAATCCCTTTGATCATGGTGTCTAAGGTTCCTTCCATAGTTTGAGCACCTTAACTTGTCAGTCAGGACCCCTTAGTTTCTCATGACAAAGAGATGGACTTACCTTTTGATGACTATATTTTTAGACATATCCTGAAGCATTAGTGTTCAAGCACTCCACTGTAGCTAGGTTATCTTGGCTGTTTATGGTGGTGGTTTTCTAAGTTTTTCTTCTCTTCTTTTGTACATTTACCCTCCTCGCCTGCCCGACAGCCGCCAGCTTTGAATGGCAGATGTGTAAGTATAGGGGGTGCGATGATGTAACTATGTTTGTTTCTTGCTTAACATTTTACCTGCTACTGTTTTGTTTAACTAAGTAAGAGATCAAATATTTTGGTACATAGTGTTGTTAGTTTATCCAGTGAGTCCTATGTTAATCATGCCATCAGTATTTGCTTGTATTCTCTATATTGTACTGTCATGATTTCTTTTATAATGCCTGCATTAGCCTTGACTGCTATGATGACAGTATTGTACTGTACACAAAACTAACTTTGTTAAATTGAATGCAGGATTAAGATAAGGAATATTTTTACATGCTCTGTTACTCCTAAATTGGTCACAAAATTAGTACTGTATATCTTAAAAGTGTTTTCCTTAACCATTATTGAGACATGGGGTAAAACTCACATTGTACAGTATTACTTAATGGAATTGTCATAGATTTAACAAATACTGTAATTAGATAAAAAGAAAACAGATGCAGTACATACCCCTTTGACCCACTAGCTCATGTGAGAGTAAATATTATTCCACATGTGCTACAACCCCTTGTAAACGGGCTTCCACCTGAGCTGAATAAAATCGTCTGGCATTGGCTAAATTAAATATTAAAAGAGGCATCCCCAGTGAATGGGTTAACCTCATTTTCTGCAGTTCATCAGTTGCTGCACTCAAGTTATTTAGTGAATTTTATGGAATTCAGAGTTCACGTGATGCTCTTAATTCCAAGACCAATACAGTAATGTGGGCATAATTATAGCATGAACTTATTCTTCTTGTGTGAACATATCCGTGGATGTTCTTGCTTATGGCCAACAAAAATGCGAGAAATAAGGCTCGCACCAGAATGCCCACAATATGTTCTTACTAGAAAAGATATCTGTGAGGAAATTTAAGAATATACATAGCTTTAACAAACAAGATTTATATTTTACATAATACAAATGGAAAAAAAAACAGCCATGAAACCAAGTATTACAAGTGATTCTTTTAGCCTATCGGGTGATAACAAACTAACCACTTCTTCTAATTCCTGCTGCTGTTTCTACTAATAACAAGCTTTGCATCTTAACATTACTTGAATGACTAATGATTTTTTTTTATTGGAATATCATTTGAAATTCTTAGGTAATAACCTCAATTAAATATTTTGCCTCAAACATTGCATGGTAATGTAATGTGTAACAATTCTATGATTATTGTCTTATATTAGAATTGAGTTTTACTTAGGTAATTACTTCTACGTTAATTCGCCATTTTGATTATAAGTAATACACAGTACAATATCTCATTTCTCAAAATCTTGAAATATTTTAAAGCGAGTAACAGTATTCTTTGCAGCTTGTATAAGCACACTCAGTCTTTTGTCTAGCTAGTGTTTGATGTCTTCTGTTATTATGTACAGTTATCTTGATTAGTCACTTTTTTTTATAATTAGATAACAATTGTGAGGGAGCATGTTTTTTACTTTGATATATGTCTTCAGACTCAGACAAGTGGTCAGTACTGATGAAGACTGAGACGGGTGAGGTTGAGGAGTACACTGTGTCTTACCAGAACTTGCTGCCATCCACACAGTATGAATTCCGCCTTATTGCTTACAACATGTATGGAATATCCTTTCCAGCAATCGCTATTGAGAAGGTATGTTTTTTTCAATAACTTTATAAAAATTTTGGCCCAAGAGTTAACCCTTAAGCCCCAGGTTAGGGTGCTGCTGGCAGTAACCCCCACAGGGATAAATCGAGAAAAAATCAACTTGTCAAAAAAATACAAATAAAAAAAAAATTGGCGGGAATAGGCAGATGTTCTGGAACGTCACCCGTGTAACACTGGTCGCACGTTCTGGAATGTCACCCGGGGCCTAAGGGTTAATGATAGTAAGTCGGAATTAGATTTTGCGGAGCTTCATGTACAGTAATTCCCCGTTGAACGAATGGGTTAGGTTCCACTAAAACGCTTTCGTTAGGTGGATTACTTTCATTGAATCCATTTTTCCCATTTATTTTAATGTAATAAGGGGGGCTGTGTTCCTGTACTAAGCTCTGTGACAAAATAATTGCAACATATCAAAATACAGTAAAATCTCTGTTTGTCGGAATCCCTCAAACCCGGAACTCTCGGATAGCCAGAATTGAAATTTTCTCGGGAAAACGCTCCCAAAGCTGGAATTTTCTGGAAAATTCCGGCTTTGAGAACAATTTCTGAGGGGAACATTTTCCGGAAAATTACGGGGATAGCGGAGTTTTTTACTGGCTTGAGAGATGAAAATTGCGCGCGTTTTCCGGAAATTCGAAGAAAATTTTGGTACCCCAAAAATTCTTTAAAATTACAGGGATGGGGGATATTTTTCCGGGTCCAAGAGATGATGTAATAGGCAATTTCTGGAACTCACGAGAACATTTTTCCGTTACTTGGAAGATTTCCAGGATGAGGGACTTTTTTCTGGCTTTGGGAGAGTTGTCTCGTGACCTGGAAATCTCTCATTCCTAAAAGTGCTCTGCATTAATTGTTCTGGCCAACAGAGATATCACTGTACAGGTGCTCCTCTACTTAAGAATGTTTAACTTACAAACTTTCAGAGATACAAACATCATCACTGAGGGGGGTTACCTGCCAGAACAGGTGTTTAATGTGGATGAGACTGGATTATTTTGAAGAAAATTCCAGATAGAACAAACATTATCTAAGAGGAGAAGAGTGAGCCAGGTTTTAAGGCTTTATTAAAGGGTATAGCTGTACTAAATATCCATAATCTTTTCATTTTTTACAATATGTTTGGTATCTACAAGAGTAAAGTTGGACTTACAAACAGTTGGACTTAAAAACAAGCCACAGGAACGTAACTCGTTCGCAAGTAGAGGAGCACCTGTATAGATAAAAACAATAAAACATGTAAAACATAAAGGTACAAATAGTGTTATCACAGAGTCCGTCACCGTTTTCAAATTAGACTACAAGATATGTATTTCTCCCATACGTATGCCTGGCTACACCTGGCAATGGGAGCGGGCAAGGGGAGTGAGTGACTGCGAGTTGAGCGTCATCTGCAGTTGTAACTCTCCTCGCTCCCTGCTTTATTTCACTGGATTTACTGTTATAATTAGTGTATACTGATAGAATAATGATTAATCATGGCATTTTAGCCACCAGGCTACTGTGCCAAGCTGTGAGGCATGTGATGGTTGTTTTTCAACTAATATTTTTGGATAGATAAAAGCAACTTTATTAATTTTTACTCCGTTACATGCACACACCCTCCTACAAAAATATTGTGAAAAAGGTAAAAGAAATAATTGTCCTAAGGGCAAACCTATAAAGGGCATAAACATTTCTTTGCACACAAGTTAGCTGGCTCGGTGAGTGAGGGAGGGGAGGAGGGCGCAGTGTGTATCTGGGGGAACATTGCTAGGGAGATGGCGCAGGTCATGTTCCAGCTGGTCTCTGTTACTATAGCGAACCAGGGAGTCTTATGCTAATGGTGACTGTGTTAAACATTCATTTGGTACGTCTGTGTTAAACATTCATTTGGCTTTTATATACTGGTTTGGCAGTACAATATTTTTTGTTGTACAATATTATATTGTGAATGACGGTTATGGAAGAATGAGTGAGAGAGGCAGTGGGTGGGAGGAAGGTGGGAGGCAGAGGATGTCGTGCTGATCTGCTCTGGCGAAAGAAAATCCATCTCTGCATCACTGAAATTCTGATTTAGGTGGTGATAATAGAAGTATTGGTGGTGATGATGGTGATCATGGAGCTTGTGGTGGAGAGGGAGATTGTGGCAAGTGGTGAGGAGATGATGCGTCAATCTGTTTGTTTGGTAACACTGGCTGCAGCACTGCCAGACACAACTGAACAGCTGATGTTTTCCCACAAAATTGAGTGTAAGTATAAATGAATATTGTATTCCTTCTACATCATGTTGCATAAATTTTGAATTATGGAGTGAGACTAACAAATAAAAAATGTACAGTACTGTACATACAATATTGTACTATCATGAATTACAGTCATAGTAGAATGAGTGAGAGGCAGTGTGTTGGCTAGATGCAGTGAGTGGGAGGGAGGGAGGAAAGAAGGTGAAATTATGATTTAGGTGGTGATTATATAGGTGATGGTGATCATGGAGCTGGTGGTGAGAAAGATGGAAGTGACTTACCTTTCGTAATGGTAGAACATTCTTTAGTTAATCGTCAAATGGGTAGTAAAAACTTGCTTTCATTATACTGGGGATTTGTTCAAAGGATTAACATTCAACGGGGACTTGCTGTACAGTATACAGTGGTATCTCCGTTAGCTGGAACAATTGGTGCAGAGCAATTCTGGGAATGGGAAATTTCTGGGTAACGAGATGACTCTCAAAGCTGGAATAAAATCCCTCATCCCCGGAATTTTCTTGGAAGTTCCAGAAATTGCACATTACCGGTACATCATCTCTTGAACCCGGAAAGAAATCCCCCATCCTCGGAATTTTCCAGGTACCGGAATTTTCTCGGGCTTTTCCAGAATGATTAATGATTTCATCTTTCAAAGCCGGAAAAAAATTCCCCATTCTGGAATTTTCTAAAATTTTCCAGGTATCCAAATTTTTCTCTGAATTTCCAGAAAATGTGCCTGATTTTCCTCTCAAAACCGGGAAAAAAATCCCCCATCCTCGAATTTTTCAGGTGCTGGGAACATTTTCTCCGAATTTTCCAGAAAATGTGCCTTGGAAAAGCATTCCAAAAGCCAGATTTTCCAGAAAATTCCGGTTTTGGGAACGATTTTCCAAGAAAATTTCAATTCCAGCTATTGGAGAGTTCCAGTTTGGAGGGATTCCAGCTAATGGATATATTATTATCATCAAAATGTAGTTAGCATGTACTGCATGGCCCTTCATTGGCCCCATAATGCAAACTAATATTTGAGAGAAATGAACTTTATGCTTTATTATTTTTATTTACCGTTATATGTAATCTTAGTAAGAATTATAACTGCCATATACTGTACTACAACATTTGGTGTTTGATCTAGAAACACTTGATGCCAGATTGTGATATCCATATTTTGCAGCTGTTGTAAACACTAAATTTTTTTAATTTCACTGACCCTCAGTACCTTCACTACAATTGTTGTCTTATAATTTTTGGTGTATCATCTAATGAAATTTTCTGAGGGTCAGTTTTGGAGAAATATAGATTGGTTATTTGAGCATTAGATGATTTTTTTTTGTGGGGGGGGGGGGTGCAAGGATACTTGAAGTTAAGACACCTACAGAATGACCCTAACCCTTTCATTACAGCATGGAAAACTGTTAATTAGACCCTCAAATTATTGAGTTTATGATTTTTGGAGGGAGGGGGTAGGAATATTTTTACTGTTAAATTCCGTGCCAAACGCGCCGCTTGGTGTGTGGGGTTTGTTTACATCCACTCGGTCTGTGTTCTGCTGCTACCGCATGTGTTGTTCACTGCTTCCTATCAGTCTACCTCTGTCAACTAACTACTGTGCTTAGACATCATGCCAAAAGTCTCTCGGAAGTCTTAGAAAGTAAGTGGTGTGGGGGAGAAAGTCAAAAGAGTGTGGTTTATCAATTGGAAAAAAGTTTGGACAAAATTTTAAACAAACACCATACCCCCTAGTTTAAAGTAAGCCATGAATAATGTTTCTAATTTTTCTATGTACATATCATGTATCTGAGGAGTACCCGTGAGTGTGAGCATATTTATGGAATTTATCTCGATTTAGCGAACTAGTTCACTAAATCCAGCGAAAAATTCTGGAAAAAATCCTTCCGCTTAATTGAGAGTTCGTTGTATCAGATTCCATTGAATCGAGAGTATACACTGGACCCTCGTTTTATGTGCATTCACTACAGGGTATATGCAAATTTGCGTTTATGCAGCGACCCTATTTTTACCCATACAGCTTAATTTATTTTATGCAGAAATGATTCCCTATTATGCGTTCTGTAGAAGATATGGCGCACTAGTTTTATATTAAATTATACTATTAACTTTATTTCTAAGCCACATTAGAGTATTTTAATGATTTTTCTTCGAATTTCAAAGCATTAATGCTCCAGAAATGGTTGTGAAACGTGGCACAGTGTTTGTGTGTGTCTACTGCGCTGTATATTACGTCATGGGATGTGGCTGGAGTATTGGGTCAGCCACTCCACACACTTTCACTTTCCACACAAACACCCATGCTCATCATATGTCTTAGTTTATAGTTTTCTTTTATATTTTATAGTTTTATATTATATTTTACTGCAGTGTTATAATATATTATCTTTATTTCTAACTCGCCTTAGAGTATTGTCATGTTTTTTCAATATCTTTTATAACATTACTGTTGTGGAACATATCCTAATTTTCCCCATAAGAATAAGTATTCATTATACTGTATGTGGATTCCCATTATGCTGTGTTGTCACAGAACGCAACCATAGCATAAAGCGAGGGTCAGTGTAAGGTATATTCCAATTTTTTGCCCAAATTTCTGTGATAGCGAGTTTTGCTTTCTGTTACTCAAATAAATTAATCATTTCCAGAATAGTGAATTTCTGTAAAGCAAATTTCCAAAACTTGGGGGTTGACTACAATTTAGGGTATCCGTCCCAGCCATAGTATACTGCAGGAAGCATTTACATCCGTAATGAAAGAGTTAAGAGAACAAGGACCTATGGTACCTAACTGCTTGCAAAATATCCTGCAGGATTATTTCAATTTTATTGTTGTTTTTCAGATTGTGACTCCATCTAAGCGGTTTCTAGAGTATGGGTATCTCCAGCAGCGACCATTCTATCATCAGACTTGGTTCATGGTGACACTGGCAGCCATATCTATTGTCCTCATTATCATTGTTATTGCTGCATTGTGTGTTAAGAGCAAAACCTACAAATATAAACGTAAGTTGATTATCTATAATAGAGTTTTGCACAGCTTTTTGTATTTCAGTCAAATCTTCTTATAGTGGTCACCATCATGTAGCTTAAGAAGGCACACCTTGTATTGGTTGGGATTTCATTTTTGGTTGATGTTTTTCTTTCTCATTTTGTGTTTTATGAGCAGTAGAACATGTTTGTTAATAACTTTAAATTTGAATGAATATAAGACTGTTTGATTACTGGTGAGGATCACTATAGTGGGAATTGATGTGTTAAAAGGAGGAGTTATTGGGCTTATCTGACTCCTTTAAAATTTTGTTCATATATCAGTAGTTTAAGTGTGTAGTTGTGTGTTGTGTCTGGTTAAGGGCATTTGCTTCTGGTGTAGAATACTGTGCCATCTTTCTCTGTTGCTTTGTAGTGTGTGTTTTGCTTGTAGATAATCAACATTTAGAGATTCTTTTATTGCTGTTCACAATCTGCATGGTGTTTTTATGTATGTAGATGTGTTTTTCTTTTAAATATTAAAATTTTACACTTCATAGTTCTATAATAACAATTTTCATGTAGAAGAATATAACAATATTATTAAATCTACAACAGTGCAGCTTCATTTGGTTATTATTTTCTTAAGGCACACATAATACATGTATACTTTATTTTCACTTGGCACAACACTGATTACCACAGCTGAGGTTAACACATATTTTATTTTGTTTTGCATGAATATTAAAGCACACTGTCTCATTCCCAGGTATTGTAGAGGAATTGTTGTCAGCACGTAAGTTTTTAATTACCACAGTTTCATGTTAAAGCACAGACTGCCACGCATGCTGCACGAGTGTTACCACAGCATCCATGAGCAACTGAATGTCGCACATTTGTGCAATTGCACATTTCTTCTGGCATCTTTGTCCTCTCTTCAGTTCAGTATCTTTTGTTACATCACTGAAACAAACACAGCACACAAACGTTTTGAATATTTCTTACATTCACCATATGGCTGGCTCTCAAAAAATTCTTTAAAAGTCAAAGGAGCAGATTTTCTTGTTAAATCTAAGTAAACCTGATACAGTATTGTGGTCTTGAGCCTTGGTCTTCACATCTGCAGCCTTTGCTTGCTAATCTGTGCCTTGGCTGTCTGTCACTTCTTTCAGAACATGTATTTTCTTGAAGAAAGTATAAATTTTAATTAGAAAAACTATGGTCAAGTTATGACACAAATTGTTCAGAATAATTGCATTCCATGTAATATAATTTATCTTGATTATTATGATAATAATTTATATTGTGGTACTGTTAAAACATGACAGAGATATTAAATATATTTTAAGTTATTATACTTTGAATGTGATGATAATACATGGTAGACTTCAATAACTTGGAAGATAATTTTATTTCAGTATTGTGATTTTTAATCTATGAATTGATCATATGGATTTAACTGATACTGATCCCTTGCATAATAGAAGAAGCAGCAAACAAGACCATGGAGGAGTCACTGAACACTGATGAGACAGCATTCTCAACTTTTGAGATGCGACAGTCAAGGCGTGGTACAATAAGCAAAAGAAGTACCTTAGGCCGCAGGTCAGTTGTTGGTGCCACTGCCGTCGTTAATGCAAAATCTCCGCCACGACCGGCTCCAGCATCCATCACTTACTCAGACGAGGACACAGTGAAGGGTTATGATGAGAATCCTGATGATTCAAGTGAATTGACTGAAAAGCCAACAGATTTATCATCGACTGCCTCAGAGGTTGGTTGTTAAGGATGTATTTGAAGATTTTGTAGTACCTGATGGCTGATGCATATTTTCAGGCTGTGTAGATTATGTAGAACATTTACTTGTCCAAGTAAGTGACTTATGGAATTTACTTGCCTGGATATTTTTCTTACATGCCTTGACAAATTTTGGAGGAAATTTGATGGGAAAAGTTATGTACAGTAAAACGTAGATATAACACGAGATACGTTCCAAGAGAGGTCGCTTTAAACTGAATTCCCACAAAATCGAAGTGTTGTTTCAATGGAATAATTTAGTTTGGTACTTGAGAGAAACACAAAATACTAAAAAGACTGACAGTCTACCCAGATGCACCTTAGCCCATCTCCTAGAATAAACAAAACATTGTTTTTTGTAGTATTATGTTAAAACAAACACTCATAAATCAACACAGCTAAAATTATGGGACGTAAAATGGTCTGTTTACTAGCAATCAGCTGATGGGGGGGGAGGTGATGTGTTTGACAGTTGATGCCAAGGTCTCGTGCTTATTTATTTATCTGTCCTTAAGAGTGACTCTAAGTTTCTTCTCTTATAAAATGTCACTAGACTGACATGTTCTAATTAATTTTATTACAAAGGGCTAAAATTTTATCTCTTGTGTTAAATATATGACGTTTATATTCAAATTATTTGCTGTCTTGCAAGGATTCTAACAATGCAAATTATATTCCTAACTTTAGTCTGTGATATTATATAAGATAAAAACTGTAAGCCTATAACCACCCAACCCTGGCTGGGAAGATAGGTGGGAGGGTGACAGGGACACGTTTGACAGTTGGGGCAGAAGGTCTGGTGAAGTATTTATTTGTTTATTTATGACCCTTAGATTGAGTTCTTGTTTTTTGTTTATAAAATGTCACAGAAGTGACTGGGGAGAATATAATTTACATTGCTGGAATTCTTGACAAAAATTTTAGTAATCATTTAGTACAGTACATTATTTTGAGTACTGTACATGTACAGTACAGCTTTGCCCTTAGGACAGTGTAGCGTGCCCAGAGAAACATTAGGCGTGAATTTTAAAATATGATGCGCAAAATAGGAGATTCGCTTTAAATTAAAACTTTGTCCTTAATTGTGGGTGTTGCTTTAAATCACTAATCTTAAATTGAATTGTTTTAAATCGATGTTCTACTGTACATATTTCTAAACATTCAAATGTCTTGCATCAATTAACTCAGATCAGTTGTGGCTGTCTAAATGCCTTTTACATTCACCCAGTCAGTTTTCTTTGCTTCTTTTCCATGTTGATGTTTTCACTGCAATTTGTAGCACAACTCTATTTACACAACAATAGGTGGGAACTTTTACACCGACTTTCAGGTCAGGTCATTGTAAGAATAAACCAATAGAAATAGGAGGGATCAGTTTGGTTGTGACATCATGATATGGCATCAGGCCAAGCACACACACACACACACACACACACACACACACACTGTAAAGGCCAAATAGGATCTTTGATGGTAGACTGTTCCACCAATCTATTCTGAGGTGCTTAAGGAAAATTGTCCATTAAAAATATAAATTTATTTACAATAATATACACACACAAAGTAATATAATAAGTAAGTTTACTAAGGGAATATCATGATTTGCCGATACCTGAACATCAGATACAACACACAGCTTTGCCAACGAGTTGTCAGTAGTGGTGTAAGGAAGTGAGAGGTCACCTGGAGTACAGAGGAGTTCCAGCTCCCCTTAACAGCATACTCAAGGGATGAGGTTAGACTGAAGTCGCCCCTGAACTGGGATCCGGTAAACTCTGGTCTGCTGGCCTCCACGAGTTTCCACGACCGGACAAGTCAGGTTATATAGTTTTGTCCATTAGAGGACAAGGACTGTCGAACACTGATGATGACCCCTCTCACACCTGGCCCTTGACGTGGGTAGATTCCTCCTAAACAACATATCAACATATTGATAATTTTTCGCTAAAATTCCTACAGTATTAACAACTCCTGACATATTGAACATAACACCTCAACAATGAATGTAGAAATGTACCATAAACCATAAAAACATAAGTAAATCACAAAATAACATAACATAGACAAATCAATAATATAAGTGAAGGTTTCTCTTACCAATGCGCTCTGGCTGAGGGAAGGAAGTCCTGCGACCAACCCACTCACTCTCCCAGAGCAAATCACCTATCTTCCGGGTTCATAATACCTCGAACGAATCCCAGTGAACGAGTAACCCAACACTTTGAATAGGCACAAGTAAACAACCCAAACCATACCATCACCAATTTTTCCCACAGGTTACTGCCTTGCTCTGCGGTTGTGCCGACTGACTGGCTAGTTTGTGTATTAGTCAATAGATGGAGTTGTGTACCTATGTCTCGCGAATACTGTATCTGACATTATTATTAATTATTACTATTATTATTACTATTCCCTCACACAGACACACACACACACACACTCATGGTGGGGAGGGGGGATTTTACTCTCAGATTATTAACTTGTCTGCCAGGCAAGTGCTGGGCTTACAGATTTTAAAAATTAACTGTTCGGTACCTAGTCTGGGTATGTCCAGGCGGCCAGCCACTGCTTATCAGGATAGCCTGCATATTTTGCTATTGATGTGTATGTGAATATCTTAATTGCCACTTGGTATAAATTTTTATTAAATATTAATATCAATCTTCTCTATTAAATACCATTTTCATATTTAAAGCACAGTAATTCATATTTAGTATTTGTAGAGTATTTCAGTCACCATGAAAAGCTCCATTATTCACTTGTTATTAAGTGAGCTTATAAATTTATTTAGCAGAGTTTCAAACATCCAAAATTAGGTTTCACTTACTATACTGAAATATACACTTGCCTCAGTTATTCCCACATATATAGTGTTATGAGTAAATGTGGAGAATTATTGAATAAAAATTTGTAAGTGAAATGTTCATGTAACATATACTTATATTCTTTTCTTTTACAGCAGGAGTCTGAAAGTGAAAATGAGAGTCATCACTCTGAACCTCATTCGTTTGTCAATCATTATGCCAATGTTAACGACACGCTGCGCCAGTCTTGGCGAAGACAAAAACCAGTTCGCAATTACTCTAGTTATACAGATTCTGAAGCAGAAGGTAGTGCAGTAATGAGTCTTAATGGAGGACAGATTATCATGAATAACATGGCTGGATCACGGGCACCTTTACCGGGCTTCTCTTCATTTGTATAGTCGAGAAATTATATAGAAATGTAGACAATTTGAAAAGACATACTACTTTAAGTCCACTTTGTATGTGATATAGAGATGATGATCTCATGGAGATCTGAATTAGTGAGAACTGTGGCTCAGGTGAAACCAAGGGAACAAATTGGTTACTGCCATGATGATCAAGCACCTGCAGCAAGTTTAAAAGATTGTGTCAAATGGACACTGGTCCTCAATGTCTGTGATATGTACAGCAGTAGTGTAAATATTTTTAGCTTCTAGAAATCATCTTCATAATCTCTAGAAATTTCAGTGATTATTGACTGACGAACCTTCTGAAATAGTTGTGAGGTACATTTGACCTGGTAAATGTGTTTTAGGAATATTTACTTTAGAAGTGACAGTTTTTTTACTGAGCATTATTCTGTAATTGAATGAAATCAAATAGTTTTTGTAATTAAAAGTCATAAATAGAATTACTTTGATTACTGAACCAATGCAAGGATGTAACAAGACAAGAATGAAAAGCAAAAAGTTGAGAAATTAGACAAAAAATACATGTGGTTCTGTTAACAAATTGACCTTATTTTTGGCAATTAACCCCAAAGATTTTTGGGTAAAAAAAAAAAAAAAATCTACCCCTCTTTGTGACACCCTTGGGTAAAAATACAGTAATCGAATAAAATTCTTTTGATACTACCTACAGTATATTGCGGAGTGATGTACGACATTAATTCCACAAATAGCTTGTACATGTATGTACTTGTAAAAAAAGAAAAGTGATCATCAGACTTTCCTTGCTTCTGCCTATACTGTACTTGAAACCACATGTATTTTGAGGAGAAATCTTGTTCAATTGGATTGTTGCAGATTTTAGTTTCGATTTCATTTATTAAATTATTTTATTGACTACTTTTCATGTCAGATAATTTTCTTAGAGGTTGGTATTAAGTGGTTCAGTTTATTCTATGCCAAAGCTTGGAGCATTCATTAATATAAGGACTCTTGACCATGTGAATTAACAGTATTCTCATGCATTTAACAGGATAATCAATTTTGATGTCTTATGTTTTTATCATAATTTCATTACCATAATCATTTTGCATATATAATTCTTATTACTATAACAAACAATCATAACTTTAAGCAGGCATTATTTTAATATCAGAGTGAATGGGATGAAAGTACTGAATGTATACTTACAGTATAATGATGTTGTCATGTGCAGTTGATGTGGATTTGGATACCATGAAATTTTTCTTAAAATTTAGGGTTCTTCCGTGAACAAGCAAAAATTATTGTCATTGTTATTCTTTGTATTTTTAAGGGTAAGAAAGCTTTTCAAAGTTTTAAATTTTTCTTAGATTTAAATGAAATTTTTGGGAAGTGCAACTTTCATATTACCGCATAGCATAATTACCAATTATTGATTTCTAGGTAAAAATTGTTGTTCCCGTCTTTGTCAATACAGTATTAGCATATATGTATATATGTGTTATAAATTTAATTGTAATGGGCCAAAAGTTCACAAAATTAACATTTCTAAGATTTAGATCGCTTCACACAAAACAAATTATTTAGCGTAGTTGACGATTTTTTGATGCTCAAAATCTTTTAAGGTTCTAGCTGTTGCTTATGCTGTGTATGCAGTTATTAATGTAGCAATACTCAGCACATAATACACATGAACATTTGGTGCTGGAATCAGTATGTGGTGTTAAACATTTGATGCTATACTGTAGTGCTGATGCACACAATTATTCTTACAATACAATGGTATCTTTCTGCACAAGTTTTCTAAAGTTGTGCTATCCACACGGAAAGTAAAATGATTGTCTGTACAGTAAGAACTTTTTCTCAGGATAATTATCAGCTTGGTAAAACAAAGAGGTGTAAATTCCAGACTTAAAATAAGCAAATTAAATGCAGATTAGAATATTAAAGTGTACTGTATATGAATTAGTGCTGGATTTTATGGATAATTAATATTAAAAGTTCATTTTCATTTTTGTACATGAAATGTGTAACAGGGGTCAACATATTGTGGGTTTGGAATAAGTTGGTTAATATTATGCAAATTATGTACATACAGTAAACTCTTTTAGCCGTAATCCTCGGAACTCTCCAATAGCCGGAATGGAAATTGGGCCTAAAAAATTCCAGGATTATAATTTTTATCATTCTCTCCCCAGTAAATCAGTGAATACAAGTACTGTATATACGTGTAGAGGTTTTAATTGTATCAATATGGCCACTAGATATATTACAGATGACAAGGCTATACAACAGTTCCAAGCAACAAATATGTATTTGTCTCTCCACATCTGGTTTCCTGACCGAAAGTTAGACTTTAGGGAATTTAAAATTAAACCTGCCAATGGCTCTTAAGTATTACCCTTCCTTGTTTTGCACCCTATATATTTGCTGCATGCACAATCAAATCCACTTTTTTCTGTTTTGCATCCTTTGTAATTCGATGAAATCTCAAACTTTTATCATGTAGTCTGTATGATATGCATCCAAATATGGAGGATTTATCAGGCACTGTTATACGAGTATACCTTCGCACCATGACAGCCAACTGGTAACTGAGCTTCCACCCCGGATTGCCGCCCAGATGACGTCATGCTCGGTGAAGGACGAATTTTCGAATTGGTATAATTAGACTTTGGTGTGTGCCTCATAAATTGTATGTGTTCAGTGGTGATTGCATAAATAAATACAGATCCATGCAAGATGTGTACAGTATTTTAGACTCTTGGGGAAAACTTCTCCAGTAGAGGGTTGAAAATTCTTGGCCAAGTCTTCAGAGAGGCTTCAAGTAAATCTGTGTACATTAGAAGGCATTAAATATAGAAGTGCCTAAGGGGAGTACTTTGTGAGTGCAGTGAGAACTGCTAAGGTGCTCACCCACCTTAAAAAGGAATCACATTCCATATGGTGAAAATCTAGCCACTAACTTAAAGCCATTTGCAAGTAGCCAATTATATATAGTGTCAAGTTTTGTGACTGAGATGCCCTTTAATGTATCTGGATTAAAGATAACTTTTGCATATGGTCTGATGATACACTAATGCCCTCTTTACTATATGGGGTTAGTATTTCATGTTATCAAAAATATATGGCTTGATAATTTTTGTTTTTAGATTAACCTCGACAGTTGAATCACCTTAAAATGTTCAATTTCATGAAAGGTCTAATAATTGTTCTTTTACTTAAAAAAATAATGTACTTAAGAACTTTTTGTAATGTACTTACCTTAACCAATCAGGTGGGATTTAAAGAAGTGAGCAGGAGGAGATGCACAAGGGAGTAGGGGAAAAAGTTCTATACTGTTGGTAATCTATAGTAGTTAAGTACTGTAATAATGTCCTGTAATTTTTTTTTCAGTACAATGCATTTTGTAAATATATTCATAAGATTTTTCTAATAAATGTATGACCTATTGAATACTTTTCTTCAATATCTTGAGTGGAGAAAAGAAACAAAAGCAAGGAAAATATAGCAGCTATATTATATATCTCTTCACATTAATATATATTGTATTTGTATAAATTTCAATGACATCCTACACATGAGTAACCTACTTATCTCACAACAGTAAATTGTCTCCAATTAATAATAAGCTTGCAGGTTTATGAAATGTTCTAACAAAAAATAACTCTGGAAAAAACCTGCTTTGACATCTGGAATCTTTATTTTGTGAAGACAGTCACTTAGAAGATGACCCGAGATCTGTTACCTTGGCTTTCTTGAACTTTTCTCACAGACATCAGTGAATGAAAACTAACAAACAAATGTTAGAGAATGAAAACTAACAAACAAACGTTAGAGAATGAAAACTAACAAACAAACGTTAGAGAAGCAATTCAATGTGCTACCAAGTGGCAGCAACATGAAGGGAATCAAGAAAAGAAAGTGTTAGTAGTTGGAAGGAAGGCCTTTGAAGAGTGACTATACAGTAGGTTCTCAAATTTCACGAGTTTTTAATTCAACGTTTTTTTATTTGGAAAAAAAACCCACTACACAATTTCAAATTTCGACGACGGAAACTTGAATTTCGATGGGTTTGAGCGGCCTGCCAACGTTCAGACGTGCACATTCGTGTAAACGGCGTCATTTCTGTTATGTACAAAAGATTTATTATTGTTTATTACTAAATGTCTTTGATTGAATTAATGTTTTGCGTGCAAAATGAACAATACAATTCATTAGTAATACGTAGAATATTAAAATACGCGAGGAGACGAGCCATTGTTTTCGTTAATGTTTACAAAACCAGTGACTGATTGGTTCTACATATAAAACTGAAGAAAATAAGACCCTGGTTGTAGCTGTAGTAAAATTAATGTAAAAAAATTAATATGGTTGATTTAAGCAACGTTAAAAAAATGTTAATAAATGGAACAATAAAAGTAGTTAACCATTAATGGTAAAGAAAAAAAAGAGTGAGTTTGCGCATGTAAGTGCGCACATGTGAAAACATATCGTCATTACTCTACATAAGAATATTAGAGCAACACTTATTTACTGTTTATATATATTTTAATTAATGTTTCTGAATTTAAAACAAGAATATTACCCACCAGTGGTGGTAAAGTTGAAAACACAAGGACAGTGAATGTTGTTATGTGTGTTTTTACTCGGATGACAAAGTTGCCAAGTCTTCAGGTTCAACTCTAGCTGAAGCTGTAGAACATAAAAACTTTTTCTGTGTTGTTTTTATTTAAACTTTGTGTTATTTTTGTTGGTTTATTAGGATGTTGCTTTATTACAGGTAGTATTTCGCCAAAAAAGTAGGGTAAAAAAGGCAAAATTTAGCCAAACATCTTAAGTACCAGACTCAAATTAATTTTCTCCACAGGAAGTTGTATTTAAATTTGGACGATTTGAATTTTGCGAAGTTTTTAGTCTAAATAGGTGTCCAAATATGAGAGCCTACTGTAGTCTGAAAACAAAAAAAGTTCTTTTGCTTTCCTTTGTACAAAACTAGTAGTTTTGAGAGCATAGGCTTCCTCACCCTTATTTTCATATTCCTGAAATTTACCAAGGTTTATGAGAGAATCTAGTTGTGTAAGGTCTATTGACAACAGATAGGAGTGAATTAATAACAATGAAAAAATTTAAATGAAAAGTTTGCATCATTATGAATGAATCCATGTTCTGGCAAAGAAAATGCAGTTTAATAATGAACTTACATTTAGTACTGCAAAAAAAACACCACCACCACCCTCATTTGACAGTCCTCATCACTGTAAGATGTCCAAAGAGCTAATAAAAGGTAAAATAAAATGATACATCCAGGTATCACCCGTTCAAATTGTTAGTTGACTTGATGATTAAGAACACTATACTGTATAATGAAACTGGTGGAGTATTAAAATTAGGGACAGTGGGTTGCAGCTACCAGATATCATTTAGATGATGACATGCCACATGAAAGAATTGAAAAGCTTGATGTACTGTTATAAACTGATTCAGATGCAGAATTTGTCCAGAAAGTCTTGGTGACAGACAATGGGTGATCTTGGGAGTGACTAGTTTCATTACAAGGTATAGAGAAAATAATAAAAAAAAAATAGCATGTTGTATTTGGATGTTCAACCCCCAAGAAGAACAGTCCAGCATCAACATGACATACAGATAATATACTTCAGGCCATCAGTGCTACCTTGTGCATCTAGTTAAATAAATTATACATCTGCAAGGTGACTAAATGAAGTCACTTATTGAAATAGTTTTTCTTATTACATTATCAACCATGACTTGAACAAGATAACAATGATGGAAATGGTGTACGTACATTTATTTACAAACTAAAGGCTCCATCTAATAACATTCATTTACCAGATAACATCATACAACTGTAATTGTGATTGACTAATCAAATTGTTAAAGCAAAAATTATATATATATATATATATATATATATATATATATATATATATATATATATATATATATATATATATATATATATATATATATATATATAGATATATATATATATATATATATATATATATATATATATATATATATAGGCTCATAATATATATATATATATATATATATATATATATATATATATATATATATATATATATATATATATATATATATATATATATTGTTAACCTTTATCCGAAAACCGAAAGTTTTTTGTGGGCTTTTTTTTTTTTTTAAACAGATTAGCCCACACAGGCCACTGACCCACATCTGCCTGGGGGCGAAAACTGTAATAGTAATACTAATTATAATAATAATTATAATCGATTTTCAGAGTAGATTGAATTTTGGGGAAATATTAGGCCTACGTAATTTTGCGAAGTAGATTATCATAGAAAACGGGAAATTTGTATCATAAAAAATGGGAAATATCTACTTTCCGGGAATGTTGGTTATCTACTTTCCCGGAAAGTAGATAGATTTTCTACTTTTCGGGAAAGTAGATTATCGACTTTTCGGGGAAGTAGATTTTCGAATTTGGGGGGAAATATTACCTAATTTTGCGAAGTAGATAATCATAAAAAACGGGAAATTTGTATCATAAAAAATGGGAAATATCTACTTTCCGGGAAAGTTGGTTATCTACTTTCCCGAAAAGTAGATAGATTTTCTACTTTTCGGGAAAGTAGATTATCGACTTTTCGGGGAAGTAGATTTTCGAATTTTGGGGGAAATATTACCTAATTTTGCGAAGTAGATTATCATAGAAAACGGGAAATTTGTATCATAAAAAATGGGAAATATCTACTTTCCGGGAAAGTTGGTTATCTACTTTCCCGAAAAGTAGATAGATTTTCTACTTTTCGGGAAAGTAGATTATCGACTTTTCGGGGAAGTAGATTTTCGAATTTTGGGGGAAATATTACCTAATTTTGCGAAGTAGATTATCATAGAAAACGGGAAATTTGTATCATAAAAAATGGGAAATATCTACTTTCCGGGAAAGTTGGTTATCTACTTTCCCGAAAAGTAGATAGATTTTCTACTTTTCGGGAAAGTAGATTATCGACTTTTCGGGGAAGTAGATTTTCGAATTTTGGGGGAAATATTAATTAAATTTGCGAAGTAGATTATCATAGAAAACGGGAAATTTGTATCATAAAAAATGGGAAATATCTACTTTCCGGGAAAGTTGGTTATCTACTTTCCCGAAAAGTAGATAGATTTTCTACTTTTCGGGAAAGTAGATTATCGACTTTTCGGGGAAGTAGATTTTCGAATTTTGGGGGAAATATTACCTAATTTTGCGAAGTAGATTATCATAGAAAACGGGAAATTTGTATCATAAAAAATGGGAAATATCTACTTTCCGGGAAAGTTGGTTATCTACTTTCACGAAAAGTAGATAGATTTTCTACTTTTCGGGAAAGTAGATTATCGACTTTTCGGGGAAGTAGATTTTCGAATTTTGGGGGAAATATTACCTAATTTTGCGAAGTAGATTATCATAGAAAACGGGAAATTTGTATCATAAAAAATGGGAAATATCTACTTTCCGGGAAAGTTGGTTATCTATTTTCCCGAAAAGTAGATAGATTTTCTACTTTTCGGGAAAGTAGATTATCGACTTTTCGGGGAAGTAGATTTTCGAATTTGGGGGGGAAATATTACCTAATTTTGCGAAGTAGATTATCATAGAAAACGGGAAATTTTTATCATAAAAGTGGAAATATCTACTCGAAAGGGTTATCTACTTCCCTGAAAGTAGATAGATTTTCTACTTTTCGAAAGTAGATTATCGACTTTTTCGGGAAGTAGATTTTCGAATTCTGGGGAAATATTACCTAATTTTGCGAAGCAGATTATCATAGAAAACGGGAAATTTGTATCATAAAAAAGGGAAATATCTACTTTCCGGGAAAGTTGGTTATCTACTTTCCCGAAAAGTAGATAGATTTTCTACTTTTCGGGAAAGTAGATTATCGACTTTTCGGGGAAGTAGATTTTCGAATTTTGGGGAAATATTACCTAATTTTGCGAAGTAGATTATCATAGAAAACGGGAAATTTGTATCATAAAAAATGGGAAATATCTACTTTCCGGGAAAGTTGGTTATCTACTTTCCCGAAAAGTAGATAGATTTTCTACTTTTCGGGAAAGTAGATTATCGACTTTTCGGGGAAGTAGATTTTCGAATTTTGGGGGAAATATTACCTAATTTTGCGAAGTAGATTATCATAGAAAACGGGAAATTTGTATCATAAAAAATGGGAAATATCTACTTTCCGGGAAAGTTGGTTATCTACTTTCCCGAAAAGTAGATAGATTTTCTACTTTTCGGGAAAGTAGATTATCGACTTTTCGGGGAAGTAGATTTACGAATTTTGGGGGAAATATTACCTAATTTTGCGAAGTAGATTATCATAGAAAACGGGAAATTTGTATCATAAAAAACGGGAAATATCTACTTTCCGGGAAAGTTGGTTATCTACTTTCC